ACCCACTCCACAGCACCACTAGGTGTACTGTTTCTCATGTGCAATTTTAGTGGTCTCAGTGGTGAGAGAATTACAATAGAAACAGAATATCAGTTGACTAGATTTGTTAGTCTGTTATTGCAGTGCCTAAGGTATTTGGTTTGTCATAGTCCTGCGGATAGCAAAGCAGCTATAATTTCTTTATTAGTGAATCAAGCAGAACCGATATTTTAGCCGTTTCGTTTTTGCTGCGATACACCTTGTGTGTAATTCAATTGTCCACATTCAAAACATCATGGCTAGACTTACACCACTCCAAAATTCTCGTTTTCTTCATTTGTCTTTTTGTTTTCCTGTTGCAAGAGCCTGTACCGGCTGCATGTTGCTTAACAATATACCCACCCTTATTAAATGGGGTAGTGAACATTTTTCACTGTCTCGTTTATTGCTTGTTGAACTCGGGGTTTACAATTTTCATAAAATGTGACATGCATGAATGTGATATACATTAATTCCTAGACACAAGTCGAGGTCTTTACAGCTCTTATGGGGTATTTTCTTAATGAATCGTGTACTGTTACTACCTGAAAAGGAAAATCTTATCTCTTCCCATCACTTTTATTGCAGGGGCAAACTCACGAACATAAAAAAATCAGTGGCCTCTAAAAGAGAAAAAATTGTTACCACCATGATCGACACTTGTCAAAATCTTTCCCTGGAAAATTACCTCCTTCCACGAGCTTAACTTAGTCATTTATGATGTGGATTAGAAATTTTGTTAGTGGATTAGTGGTTAGTGTATGTAGTCTTTTTGTTGATTCGAGCAGACTTTCACCGTGTCACTGAGGAGACTCAAGAACAGCAGCGATCACACGTTTATGTCCATCCCAAAACCTGTCACAGGCCATCTCAAACCACTCACGAGTCCAGCAGCAAGATCGTTAGAAGTACTGACATGGTAAAAATAACAGAGAAAGCTTTTTTTGTTTAACTGGAGTAGCATGGTATGGGTAATTCTTAATGAATTTGCAGGGACTTGTTGTTGACTCGACTACAACACTAATGATTATCACATGGAGGTTTTCCCCACAATCTTTATTTGAAGTACGAGTTTCAAGTTTGGAGTATAGCGCATCAAACGCCGTGAGTTGATTCTCTCTAATGTAAAGTTTATATCGTTTGTTTTTATGCAAGATCCCTTCATCTTTTTAAATTTTATGTCTTGATGTAGCGAAAAAATACGGGCAATTCACAATAGAGCACCCCCAAGAGTCTGCATTTCGTTGGCCAATCACAACACGCGAAATTTGTCGACCCTTTCCGAATGCGCATTAATGGACAGATTTCGCGCATTGTGATTGGCCAATGCGTTGCAGACTCGTGGTGGCGCACTATTGTGAATCACTCGTATTCAGAATGCCCCTCATGTTTTAATAAATTCTGAAACTTTTAGTCTTGTCATGCAGAGTGATCGAGAACCAAGATTGAATCATTAAAGCAATGCATAAAAAGAAAGGACCACGCCCGCACGTAGGCAACGAAAGGGCATAGAAACTCTACGCCCGCCAGAGAACTTGATTTGAGTAAGAGAACTTTCCCTCGTGTCAAACGATTTCTCTCTCGCTCTGTCCCCGTCGAATATCGACCGGCCTGTCTTGCGTTCGCCAAGACTCTCGATCACTCTGGCAGCGGGGGCAAATGGATCAACCGGCTAGGATTTCAGCAGAAAAACACTTCTGCCAGAAGTTTCACCCGTCACTTCACGCCAGCTGAATGCAGAGCCGTCCACGAGCGGGACGAGTAGGGGGCCTATACACCGGCGCCTTGCCGGTTGGCTGCTGCCGTCTGCAGCGCCGATTTCCCCGCTCACGAGTCACTGCCCTGCTCGGGCTACTACGTCAGGCTCCTCGGACTCGGGGCTATTCAGACAGACAAGCTCTCTTTCTCTCCCCGTTCCAGGTGTATCTCTCTCGGTGCTGTCCCTTCGGCCCAACTAATACCCCCCTCTAGCCATAGACCTTCTCGGGTTGTTGTCACCCGGGGGCGAATTCGTTATAAATACTTTGCAGGTTGAACCAAACTAACACAAGGACTTATAGCGTAAGCATCAAAAGACATTTCTGCGCATGACCAACGATTCACGAATCAAAGTGGATCTTTTGACGGCCGACAGTTCTAAATGAATCGTTCAAACCAGCTAGCACTGTAAGGTCTTTCTAAATTCAAGTGATTTTATTGGCGGGTATGAAGACCAATCAATTCCTCTTGTCTACTATGCCACAAGTGTCAGGCAGTGACAGTGTGGATGTGAATGAATCTAACCATTCACCCAATCCGATTAGACTTCAGTTAAATTACAAAAAAAGAAGTTAGAAAGATGGCCTCTGCGCATGTACAACCAGTACCAAATCAGGGGATGGTTTGTCATACACGTGAATGAATTGAAAAAGAAAGCTACGAGTACGTCTCGTGTCAGCGTGTCCCCGTGTATTTTCAATGGGCAGAGATCTACCTGTATTTCTACACAACACATTTGGATAACGCTGAGGCAACACTTAAAAAATTTTACTTTATACGCACTTCGTCAGAACGAGGTCGCTATTTAAAGTGTAGACGAAGGCAATTTTGTTAAACTATTTGCAGAAGTTAGGCAAATAGTATTAACAAAGAAAATAATATCAACAAAATTCTAGTGTCTTCATTTATCTACGATATGAAGGTTTTTTTTAACTGCAAAACTAGAAGATTTCAGCTTTGTAGATCCCTCGTATATGTCATGCACACATAGACATTTCACAGGAAACTCTAGCGAAATGTGATTGCTCGGCACTCATCAACGGCATTTTGACACCAGCGAACACGGGTAACTAAAAGGTTTGGTGCCTGCACCAAAGACCATCGAAAGGTAAAAAGGGCGGGAATTCTTGTTGCAGATTCCGTGCGTACCATGATAAGAGAGTTTGGAATGATAAATGAGAAGTCCATGGTGACGTCAAGAATACAATGTAGCGGCATTTCCCTTCAATATCCTCCGAACTCCAACTCAAGTCAGCCTCGAGATTCTTCTTTATACCAGCGATTAGGACAAAACAAACATTCCGTATTAATAACCGGGACTCCTTGCATCAATCGAACGATCATTAGGGTGGTAGTGGACACAGTGCGCTCTCTCCCTGATCTTCCCCCGGCTCTCGGGGGGAGCGACTGCCCCGTCATGGGCCGCTTATACACGGTCTGATGTCAGGCATTTTTCCTCCTGCGTTAAACCACAGCGATAAGAACATTGATGAACGACACAATTGACAGTGAGGGTAAAGTGGAGATGGTTATGCTGAACACAGACATCATTGCAATGTAATGATTTGGCTGTTAACACTTCTAATAACAACGAACAATTCTAATAAAACCGACCAAGAAAATTAAACTATACTAAGTGGCAACGGGATTGCAAGGTACAAACTTCACTTCTACTCACTGCGTTGAGTTCTCTTGATGCCTTTTGTTAAAGGTTAGCATTACGGTCAGGCGATGTGGTTTATTTTGCAGAACGTTTGCCATTCTGACAGGTTTAATGCGTCCGATAATTTTCACTGTCACTAATAAAAATGGAAAATTAGTTTATCTTATCTCCATAGTCAATCAAAACAGGAGTGAAGGTCCTGCATGTATATTTTGTTCAAGTCTTTTGAAGACAGTAGGTAAGACAAGGCGCGTATGACTACCTGTGCAAGAACAGACAGGGTACCAGCCAAACTTGAGAAAAGTGCCTCTGAAACATGAAATTCAGACAAACTTCAGACAGCCGTATTTGTCTCAGTCAACCCCTACTTCTGATCGGAATAAACAAATTGTGTACCCATGAAAATATAAATGTACACCTATAGTGTGTTTTTTATTGAGTGAAAACTCAGCATATCTTAACGTGCAGCAGGGCAGGATATCCATGTTTGTTTCTGTCTAATACTGTAATCTAAAGATCAACCTGGTCCTAATTATTGGTTAATTGTTTTCTGGTTTTATTGATGACTCCATGAAAACCTTTCCATTGATATGTGCTTGATGACATGATGGTCATACGTTTCTGCGTGCCAAGGATGACATTCCATAATGAAATTAACTTAAAATTGCAGACTTAGAACAAGTAGTGATTTTGTCGTCTGCAGATTTGAAGTATATTCATTTTTAAAATTATAAATAAACTTCACGTGAGATCTCATTGTTTTCTAAACAGTCTGTTATCTATTAAATGTTAATATTAATGATCAATCGATAGATGATTCACTGCCAATGATTTGTTCTTGCCGTGCTTTTTGTGCCGCCCTTGCTCAAAAATACATTTCCATTAATGAAGGCCATGCATAATTCCATCTGAGAGGCAGAATATACGGCAGGTAACTAGCATTATCGCAACGAGACTAGCTAGCCACCATGCACCTGCAACTTAAAATATCCTGTAGTGGAGGTTATTGCAGCAATTAGAGGAAGGAGAAAAAATTGGCTTGTTGACCACGATAGTAAATTCAAGGCGAGGGGATGATTTCAAATTCAATTTTCTTAGAGGTGAAACAGTCATAAACTTCTCTTTACAGTGTGCGTGGGCGACACCGTTTGAGCGCGTTTTCCTTGAGCGCTCTGTCGATGCATTTAAGGTACGCCACTAAGCAAATTTGGCATTTTGACAAGCAAATAAATGAAATAAGTCAAGCAAGATAATTAGATGTTCTACATTAGCGCTGCAGAGAATCGACAACTGGGCGGTTTCAACGGTACGTTGTCATGGTTACCTACAAGATTTTACCGTGCAAAACTGAAAACCAATTGACTAAACTCTTTCACGTATGCCTATGCCGCAGCACAGACACCATTATGGTAACAAACAGCGTTGAAAAACAGCGTTTCAAACGGGGAAATGAAAGATCTTGCTCTCTTTTAATTAAGAACTGCATTCGTTACTGAGTGACTGCAAAGTGTTTGCTGCGTTTTTCGTTTTAGTAACTTGGCAGTTCTGCAGAACTTCAGACATGGCTGAGAACGACCTACCACTCACGATTTTTCAGAGCATTGTAGGCATTACTGGGATCTGTGGTAATGCTTTGGTCTGCGTGGTGATCGCTAAAATCCGCTTCATGCACACCCTGACCAACGCCTTTATCTTCAACCAAGCCCTAATCGATCTCTTTGGGTCCTTCATGATTTTGCTTAACAATCTGGTGCCGATTCCAGACCCACTACCTTCAAATAGTAATGGTGTGCTGCTCTGCAGACTTTGGCTCTCTGGATACTTCAACTGGGCGCTGTTTGTGTCGTCCACCTTTAACCTGGTGGCACTGACTTTGGAGAGGTACCTGGCCATAGTATTTCCGTTCAGGTACCAAGTGCTAGGTACTCGCAAAAACGCTCTAATCATAATAGTCATAGTCTGGGTGTCGGCTTTCTTGTTCACTAGCTATGGCGTGTTCATTCGCTACTATAAAGGCGGCCAATGTAAGCAGAAACTCGTGGCTCATCCGGAAGTTCTGGGTGTCGCCGTTTTCGCGGTGACATTTCTTTTACCCGTCATTGTTATGCTGGTCGTCTATGCCCACATCACCGTCGTTCTGAAGAGAGGAGCCGGAAGAATTCAGCCCGGACCAGCGGCTGCTGTTCCGTCTACCGGCACAGCTCCCGAAGGCCAGGGGGAGTCGCTGATGAGAGCTCGCCGTAACACCTTCAAGACTCTCCTGCTGGTCTTTGTGGCGTTTACCATTTGCTGGACGCCCAACGAGGTCTTTTTCCTACTCTTTAACCTGGGTGTCGACGTTAACCTGACTTCTACCATCTTCTTTGTTACTGTTGCTATGGTTTCTACTAATAGTTGCTTGAACCCCTTCATTTACGCCATCAAGTACAAACAGTTCCGAAAAGCTCTGAAAACTCTCTTTGGCAGACAAGGCGGGATTGAAGACGAATCGACACTGGCGACCGTCGCTACTGCCCACGATTGAACCACGAATACTGCTGAGAGCTCTCCTTAATAATATGAACGCGTAGGCCGAGCCACAGCCGAAGAGTTAGATTTGGACTGAAAGTATTGTGAGTATATAGTTTCAAAGGAGTTAACGACCACAGTTGCTAACTATTAAATATCTGTATCACCAATCAGCACAGTATGTATAATCTTATCGCACTGATGAACTCACTTTTTTAAAGTACTTGAAGAAATTTGACTCAGTGGTGCATCTATGTTTTGTCGTGGGGGTGGGGGAAATGGACAGATATCCCTCTCCAACTAGCTTATGATACTCTGACCTCCTTGGCTGCACCATAGTGGGCCTTGATGGATGGTTATAAATCCATATCGGAGCTAATAGTTTAAATAGGTTAAATGTAGGTGTCTCATTGTCTCTTCGTTTTCAGAAAGAATAGAAAAATTGGCAGCCTTGGGGTCCTCAACTCAGAGCGTTTCACAGAGAGAGTTGCGACATGAGTGTCCAATAATTGTTGGAACCAAAATAGAGATCTATGGCGTCAGTGCGCATGTACCATTGGTACATAATAGCTGCATGATGTACTGCACATGATGAACAGCCACTTCGGTTCTAAAATCTGAAAGTGGTGTTACTCTCTCTCAAGCGCCCCCTTTGGGTTGTTTAGTGTACAGGATATTTATCTAAACAATCTGAGTCAGGATTATATAAGATAAATTATGACGTGTTAGGAATAGACACAAAGTGTCTGAGTAAAAAAAGGTCGTCTTAGAAATTCTGGATGCGTGTCAGTTTCCCGATGAAATTTGAGGTGCCTCACATGGAGTTAATGGTGCACACCTCCATTGCAGATTGCGAAGGTAAATTCATCATGATAAATTTACTCACACTGTCCCCTGTACAGGTGAACGCAATTCTTGTACACAAGCAGTGACGCCCTGCCCTTGTGGTATGCAACGAACAACCTGCCAACAAAGATCCAACCTTAATCCGAGATTAGATCTATTTACAATCCACTTCCTAGCTCTGAAAAAAAGCATCTGTGAGGTTCTCCACAAATCTCACAAATTCAAGGTAAACATCGTCGAATCAAGCAAAGCATTCCGTTTTTTCTCTGAATACGTTGACCATAGGATGCAAGAAATTGCACTGACTTCCTATCTGTACAAAATGCCTGTGCACATGATTTGATGATTACTTATAACTACACGATTAGATTAAGTATGATTACAATAAAACTCACGATTAAAATCTAGGAGGGATTATGGATTGAGAGTTGAATCAATTAGCATTTGATCTTCTAATATTACTTCATAATATTACTTATTTCTTCGAATGCTTGGATAGGAATATGCCCTTGAGCTCTCCAAAACAAGCCAAAATATGTTTTCGTTTTCAGCTGCTGTAATATATTTCCATGCATGTCCTTTTTACGTTCAATTTTTGTCTCAGAGAATACAAAATGTAAAACCACATAATATCATTAGGACAGAACAAATATTATTACATCTGCATTTACCATAAAATGAATAGACTGGTGGAAAATAGACGGTTCTCAATATTCCGTAAATAAAGAGACAAATTCAATCTGTGTCGACCTGTTTCAGGGACAGCACATAACGTGCATCTAGGAGTAGAGTTTCCAGCTTAACGGAGTTAGCCTTCACGTTAAATGAGCCCTGGTGATTGTCGACACACATCGGGTCTTCCATCGGTCAGGAAAAAGTACAATAAGGGTAGACTTCCACATCACAAGAAAGTTGAAGCCATCAAAGTTTGATTCCATGGGCTTAAATCCCGGGGCAAGGGTATATAACCCCTCACCCCCATTGAATCACCCCCAATCCACTTTTTCGTGGTGAGAAAAAAAATTAAATGAACTCTTCGGACTTCCGAACAACACTCACAGAGGGAAAATAGATAAAAAGCCATTCTGATCTTGAAGTTCTGCTTGAAATGAAAATCGGGGAGTCCCCCCCCCCGCTTTACAATTTTCCATAGCCGGGCAAGTCATTCCCCCAACAATTCCCCATCCAGCTCATGTTTACGTCATTGCATGAATTCATTTCTGATACGTATAGAAATTACTATGATTTGAGGTTGAGTTTGACATCGAAACTACAAATAGATACGTACAATTTGGAAAGTCGGATGTATTATGTCTGCAAAATGAACAATCTTGGCCCCCTGCTAAATGCTGAGTTTGCTTGCTACAATACGCCGCAGTCACGGTGAAGAAATCGAGTATATTAGTGATTGTTCGTTTGCCTAATGGAGGCGTACTTGGGCCCGCTGATCGAAGAGGCATTCCATCTAAACAAACAGTGCCGTGTAGGCCCTATCAGTGTCAAATTTGGTCACAGCTACAATCTCGACAGGAGACGATTCAGCGCTCACAATACAGCATTGCTGACACCGAGGAAATCAGTATGTCTGTTCATATCACAGTCAAACTATGGCTTAAAAAGAGCAGTATGACCTTCATTGAATTTTGCCGAAAGTAGAGCCGACCATTTGCCACTCTGCAAGCAAGAGGTTATGTGGTGGTATTCTGAACTGACATGTGTAGCAAGCTAGTATACGACATGGCCGAAGAAAACCATGCATGCACTCACAAGTTTTCAAAATATCGTGGGCATTTCTGGGATCTGTGATAATGCTTTGGTCTGCGTGGCAATCGCCAATTTGAAGTTCGCTTCGTGCACACCCTGATCAACGCCTTTATCTTCAACCAAGCCCTGATCGATCTCCTAGGCTCGTTGCTGGTACTGTTTGGAAGTCTTGTGCGGATCCCCAACCCGCTACCTCCGGGTATCAACAGGGCGCTGCTCTACAGGCTCTGGATTTCAAGATACTTCACGTGGGTAATGTTCGCTCCATCCACTTTTAACTTGGTAGCACTGATGTTGGAGAGATATCTGGCGATTGTTTTCCCTTTCATGTACCAAGTGCTCGGTACCTGCAAGAATGCCGTTATTGCAATGCTGTCTATTTGGGCTTTAGCATGCCTGTTCATCGGTTACGGCATTGTTATTCGCTACTACGAAGCTGGAAAATGCAAGCGGATGCTGGTGGCCAATCCAGAGGCTCTTGGAGTAGCTGTGTTTGTAGTCACATACTTTCTACCTGTCGACGTCATGCTCATCGTTTACATTCACATCACAATGGTTCTGAAGAAGGGAGCTGGTAGAATTAAGCCCCGATCAGCTGCAGCTGCAGGTCTGTCGACGGGCATAGCTCCCGAAGGCCAGGGGAGTCGCTGATGCAAGCTCGCCGTAACACCTTCAAGACCCTCCTGCTGGTCTCCGTGGTATTCACCGTCTGCTGGACGCCCAACAAGGTCATCTTCTTTCTCTTCAACCTCGGTGTAGACGTGGACTTTACTTCCGTCGTCTACATCGTGTCAGTTGCTATGGTTGCATCCAACAGATGCGTCAAACCCTTCATCTACGCCATCAAGTACAAGAGCGACGTACAAGTGGCGGTTATCAATTCCATATTTCTTCTTTGTCTTCTTTGTCTTCATTGCTGAAAAAAATCTCCATTAACTTTATTCGTTCATTAAAATTGATCAAGATAACCATGTTTTTCTCATATACCGACACTTTGCCCGTGCCAAACCATTGCCATTAGCGAACCAAAAAAAAATCAAATAACGCTTTGCCAACAGCAAGTGATAACCTCGCTGTTGCATGTCGTACACAATGTAGCCAATCACAATCCCAAGCCATCATCAGCCCTTCCCAGGGCCCTAGTCGGGCGCTGAGCGACAAGCGAATAAGCATATTTTCCATGGGCCGCTGTCTGCCTTCACATGTCAATTATGCACATACTTACGATAAATTAGAATTTATTAGTGAACGAGTCTATAAAGAAGACCGGTATGTCTCCTGTCATCAGCACCTCAAAGTCTCCCATTATAGGGTCAGTTTGGAGTATAACTGGCCATGGCATTAGCTAGAGTACATGTATAGTAATGCTACTGAGGGTATTTCTTTCACCATAGAAAACCTCGTGGCTGCCATTGAATTCCGTGAGGATGTAATTTGTCTTGTTATTGCTCGGCTCTCTGAACTTGACGTTGACAATTTACACCATCGTTCCGCTTTGATGTTACATCAAAGCGCCAAGGCATGGAATTCGAGGAGAAAATCCGACCAAATCAATTTAGAGGACACTGATTTCACTGAATATCGGATGCCTATCTGCCAAAATTCCATAATGCGTACTTTTTATAGAAACTACAACAGCCTCCGAATACGAAGTGCTGTAGGTTTTTTATTCACTCTGTCCTTTTGACTCGAGGCAATTTCGCAAATAAATATTGTTTTGACAAGACTTTGTAAAGAAATCTTCGAGCACCACAGGAATGAGTGTGTATTATGATATATTCAAAAAAGGAAATTCAGCCAGATATAAATTTTCCCTTCACTAATTTCACCCTATTCTGAATTAAAACTTGAGGTTCAGCTCCGTCTGAAGAAGTATAAAAGTGCCGTCATCTGAACGATATGTATACGACTGGCTGTATTCATCGTCGCAATGGCTGAAGAAGCAACTCAGGCATTTCAGGCTGTGGTGGGAATAGTCGGGATCTGTGGTAATGGTTTGGTGTGCGTGGCAATCGCTAAAGTTCGCTTCATGCACACCCTGACTAACGCCTTTATCTTCAACCAAGCCCTGATCGATCTCTTCGGGTCGTTGATGACCTTGCTCCTAAGCGTCGTTCCCATCCCAGACCCGATACCTGGCGGGGTCACTGGCGTGCTACTCTGCTCAATCTGGGTGAATGATTACCTCCAGTGGGCACCGTTCAACGCCTCCACATTCAACCTGGTCATGCTTACTCTAGAGAGGTACTTGGCCATAGTGTTTCCCTTCAGGTATCAAGTACTAGCTACGCAAAAGGTGGCTACAGCAGCCATCCTTGGTACCTGGATCTCGGCTTTTTTGTTGTCTGGTTATGGTATATATCTCCGCTACTATGAAGCTGGGCAATGCATGCTGAGATCAGTGGCTTACCCACAAATTCCAGGCAGCATTGTTTTCTTAACGGGATACCTGCTCCCCGTCATTGTCATGTTGGTCGTCTACGTCCATATCACCGTTGTTCTGAAGAAGGGAGCTAGCAGAATTCAACCCGGACCGGCAGCTACAGTTCCGTCTACCAGCACAGGTACCGAGGGCCAAGGGGAGTCGTTGATGCGAGCTCGCCGTAACACCTTCAAGACCCTCCTGATAGTCTCCTCAGCCTTCATCATTTGCTGGACACCCAACTCGATCATCTTCTTTCTCTTCAACCTTGGCGTAGAAGTGGACTTCACATCGCCCATTTTTTACATGTCCATCGGGATGGTCGCCCTGAATTGTTGTGTGAATCCGTTTATATATGCCATTAAGTATAAGCAGTTCCAAAAGGCACTTAAGGTTCTCTTCAAGAGAAATGAAAGAGCTCCATCTGCGACAGTAACTAGCGGCTACGATAGAGAAAGGGCTTGAATGAAGTCAAATTTCTGGTAGGATCGTGTGAATTCGTGTTCACATTGTAATGTCCTATTCGAGATGTTGTCAGTAAAACATCCTAATTTTTCCCGCTCAATCTCGCGCGCACAGGAAAAATGACGGTTGTAAAGTCTTTATACAGACCACTTAAAATCCCGCTTAGATTAGAAACTAATATCAAAAACGATTTAATGGGATTTTCTTAAGAAAAAACTGAACAAAGCCTGAAAACGGGAGAGAAAATCATCAAAATCGCAACCCTGTACATTTTCAATGGCCCTTGCACCAAGGCGGGCCATAAATTTTGTGTCTCAATCCCAGACAATTTTAGCGACAGATTTGATTGCAGTGAATTTCACTGAAGTAGAATTCACTGATCAGGACTCGTTTAATTTAAATCAATTGGTCAGATACTGTATTTGTCAGAAGATATCTCGAAAATATATAGAGAAGTATAGGGCCTACTTAGAGCAGACTTGTGCGTCAACACAAATACAGAAAGCGCATGTGTTCAGTCAATCAGTAACGTCACTTCTGTTCATATTTGACATTGACTTTTTCAGTAATTTTAAGCACATTGAAATACTCATTTAATTCGGGGACTAGATAAGACTATTTTTCACGGCGTTCCATCGGTTACTTCAATCTCTTCAACGACTGTTGATGTTGCTGAGCTACTTACAAACTCACAATGGCTGAACAAGCATCACAGGCATTTCAGTCTTGTAGGAATAGTCGGGATATGTGGTGAAGCTCTGGTGTGCGTGGCAATCGCTAAAGTTCGCTTCATGCACACCCTGACCAACGCCTTTATCTTCAACCAAGCCCTGATCGATCTCTTCGGGTCTTTAATGACCTTACTCCTAAGCGTCATTCCCATCCCAGACCTGATACCTGGCGGGCCTACGGTGTTTCTTCTCAGCTCACTTTAGGTGGGTGACTGGCTTCAATGGGTCTGTTTAACGCCTCCACGTTCAACCTGGTCATTCTAACTCTGGAGAGGTACCTGGTCATAGTATTCCCTTCTAGTACCAAGCTCTGACATCTCGTAAGAAAACCATAGCCGTCATATTTATATCTCCGTTACGATAAGGCCGGGGAATGCGTTCTTAACCCGGTAGCCCACCCAATGGCTCTTGGAGTGTTTGTTTTTGTAGGGAAGTTCTTTATACTCTTCATCGTCATGCTGGTCGTCTACATCCACATCATAGCTGTTTTGAAGAGGGTAACTGAGCGTGTCGTTCCCGGACCAGCGAATGCAGGTCCGTTTACCGGCAAACCTCCCGATGGCCAGGGAGAGTTTCTGAAGAGAGCTTGGAGTAACATCTTGAAGACCCTTCTGATCGTCTCTGTGATCTATGCCATTTGCTGGACACCCAGCGAGGTTAACGTTTTCCTCTTCAACCTTTGCGTAGAGGTGGACTTCACATCACCTGTAATATTCTACCTAATGATAGGGATGGTCTCCCTGAACTGCTGCCTCAACCCGTTCATATAAGCCATCAAGTACAACAGTTCCCGGAGGAGGCACTCATGTTCTTTGGGTATAAAACGAGGTGTGGACTCCCTAACTTCTTCTGTTAGTACCAGCCACAATAGGAAAATTGCTTGATAAAGGTCACATTACAAGGATAGGTGGGTATTCATATTGGAACACTGCAAAACCAACCTCCTAGATGTTAATATATCAGTGTAGCTTAACGGGTTAGGCAAGTACGAGAGAAATAATCATAATACCAAGACATTAATTCTACTTTATTTAGTTTGCAGCCAAAATGAAACACACAAAATTTACTTTGACAGAAATGTGAATTGGGTTCACGAGAAGCTTCCAGGCACAATCCATTTACAGTGTAAACTCTGGTGCATGTCTTTCTCACCAGCGCCCAATAGTGAGTTACTTTGGTCCTGGCATAAAATGGCTGACAAAAGCTGGCCTGATAAACAATTAATGATGAGCACACTAATGCCACCATTATAGCTGTTGGGCTGGTACAAAGGCACCAGATTCACGAAGGCCCTAGTCTCCTAAAAGCACCAGTAGCTGTAACATAGCTTCAGGTGTTGGGCCTACGCATTTCACTTCATTTCATGTTGATATTGAATAACCTGTACTGTAGAATCTTTCCCAAAATTTACAAATTTACAGAGAAAAAACTTAAAAAACAATCCTTCATGGACGCTTTCGTTAGAGCACTGTGTTAATTTACCGATCTTAAGAAAACGTTGTCGGAGAATTTTTGATTGTCACAGAGCACTTACATAAAGAGTTCGAAAATTAAACTATAGGCCAGCTGAGATAAAAAGTGACCAACTGAAATTACCTGCCTTTGAGCTGATCTTTCACTCGCCAAGACAACTACATATACCTCTAGACTTGCCATGGCTGGACATCTTCAACCAAGCCCTGATCGATCTCTTTGGATCTTACGTGACCCTCTACTCCTCGGTTTCATACCAATGCCTGATCTGCTATTTGTAGGGCCATTATTGTTGCTTGAATGGACTAGTGACGAGGACTGTTTACTCGTCTACGTATAGCTTAGTATTCTGGTTGGTCTTTGGGTCGGGGTGTAGTCTACGATATCACGATGTGATAAGCATAAAGATGGGAGGAGGTTGTAGTATGTGTTTTGTTGAATGGTATAGTTCCGAACTTGAACCAGTGTAACTAATGGAGAGCGCTTTGATCTTAGTTTAAAAGCGCTATATATTTTCAATACAGTTTTCAAGGCCGTGGTATGACAAGTAGCATACCTACGGTATGTAGGCCTAGCCCATGTGTTCATGGATGCATCAGTACTTCAAGCTAATGCATCTTTTAAGAACAAACTTGTTAGCTCAGGTCTCTTCAAAAACTAAACTTCTTTAATTACTTGTCTGTAACTCTTAGTTGCACTACTGTAAAAACGTGGTGACTGTATACCCGTTGTTAGGGATAGAACTGTCAATGGTACAAGGATAATCCAATTATTGGAAGAGTTATTTCTTGTCATCAAGACCAGCGTTCGGTACATAAAAACGTAGATAGAAATTCTAAATTTAATTTTTTTTGCACTCATATAAAACTTGAGTCTCGGACAAAGCAATCACACGTAAGATCGTACCTTTGTTGTCCTCTAACTTGAATTAATTACATTAGAGCACTATATATAGCGCCAATTAGTTGGTTGGTTTTCACCTTACTGCTGCTTTATTTATCTACCCTGGACTCGCAGTGGTGCTTGAGGTGCACAAACTTAATTGCGGAATGCGGAAGGAAATTAATTTAAAGCACCTGTCCAATGGTGTCACGTACTTGGGTAGAGACTAGCTATTAGCACATACGTCATCGTTTAGAAACAAACTGAGTAGAAAATAAATAACCGTTTCAGATAACAACCTAGTCCCGAGAAATAAGAGACTCGTTGACTGTACGGACAGGTTTTTAAAAATGTTGTTGCAATTTTATGTGAAGTCTTTTTGTTGTGCCGAGAATGTATTCAAATGTGTTAGGCCTACTTTGTTGTCAACGGAAATGTGTTGACATAAACATTATCCCTACAAGGGAATCGCGCATTTGTGCAATCAAACATGGCTCCAGGTTCAAAACGTTCATCATGTAAGTGTACTGTAGAATTATGGATATTTTAGTATTTTACTTTATTATAAAAAGTGCATATGCATTCAGTGAAGTATAATCCGCCATACACACGTTTTCACTTATTTTTGATTAAGCAAGGTTCTATCTAGCAATTATTCGTACTTGATTTCCAATAATTTATCCCTTTATTCTGAATGCTCCTTGCTTCTTGGAGCCTGTTTTAGAAAGAAAAACAATCGGTCAGAAAACCCATCTAATTACGGACGCTTGTGTTGCATGGTTATACCTGGAACACGCTTTTACGCATCCACTTAATGCACTGTCGTAGGTAGGCTTTTACTAATGGGGGGGGGCACAAACATCTAATGGGGGCACCAGCCTTCAGTGTTTTTTTTTTTTTTTGGGGGGGGGGAGTTTCTGTTAGCCTTGTTCAATATCCATTCATCTTTTTTTTTTGGGGGGGGGGCGGGAATTGTGGGGGCACCAGGTCCCCTGTGGCTACGCCACTGATTTAATGCCCATCCAATGCCAACCGTAGCCTCCATGCAGACGGGATAAGCTCTTGCAGGAAGGCATGATAACGCTCGTGCCTGCTCGTCCCCGGTTACACCGTGGGTGCAAAAATATGCAAAAGCTTTGAGCCGATGTGATTAAAGATTCTGCAATCAAACGCAAATCCATGAAAACACAAGAAACACAGGTATCCACTTGGCACCTGACTGAACTTCAGTTTCGCATTTATTGATGAATTATGGATGTTTCATCAAATATACATATATGTAATAAACTAATTCATTTAATAAATCATATCCTGTTAATTAACGAACAATTCTTGTTTTCGAATTAACAAGACACTAGTAGTGTACTGAGGATCTCAAAACACGTGAAAATACATTGCATAAATAACGACTTATTAAATAATTATAAAGTTTATTTCTTGATAGTTTAATGTGGTGTTGAGTTGTATCATTTCACAGATCAATAAAAAAAGTGTGTGTTGAGGCAGCCGTACAATTCTTAAATTATACGAGTCCTGTTCCAGATTACGGACTAAGTATTTCAAGGTCCGTGGATAATGTGCTGAATAGTTTGCAAGGTTTGAAGACTTCTAGAAAATTGTTTGAGATTCCAGCAGTCAATAAAAAAAGTCCCCAAAATTTCCAGAAAGTCATCAGGACCATCAAAATTGATTCCGACTTTTGGAGGCCAGCCCCGTCGAAAGCTTCAGGCATGGGGGTGAGGTTGGCACAGTACCAACTGGGAGGGCACGTTATAAGAACAATAGACAATCCTAATGCTTCTGATTTGTTGCCAGTAAAGCTACCCTTAAGGGAGTTCCAGCCCCCTCCCCCCCGTGACGGGACTGCATGGAGCCTCGGCAAGGTGTGAAGCTGCTTTTATGAGAAAATTCAACCCTTCTAGCACACGGTCTCAGGCTATCACTCTAGTTTATGCTTGCAAGTCGAGTGCTATCCAGCTTATGTCATTATAGTACCGTATCCTTTGTTTCCACTGAACAGCCTTCATGCATAAGCACTTAATGTCAATTACACCTTTGGACATAGTATTGGAAGTCGTTCTAAGGCAAGTTGTTAATCAGAAAGTCAAATATATATATGGATGTCAACGATTTTCAACGTGCAAATAACTTATGACGTATTACACTTCTTTGTTTTAAACTTTGACAAAATAAGATGAATCTGATGGAGGTGTGTGATATTGGACATAGAGCAAACAAATGACATCATTGATTAATGTAACCATGCACCAAAATTTATTGGAGTTTTACATATAACTGATCATATAAAGTCAGAGTTTACGGTCGTCCTATCTTGGTATGCCTCACGGTGACGCACTAAGAAATAACCTCGTCTTTAAACTCACTTGAGGTATGAGATTTACTGGCTATAGTTTGCTTTACAGCTTGGTGTTAAGTATTGTTGGACATTATTTAAAATGAACTGATAGAAAATCCACCTAGATCGATAGCTTCTGAAGGTTTCATGCAGTAATTTGTTGACAAAATATTACGAATAACAGACATATGTATTTGGAATGTGTCACAATTAATTGCGATGTATGTAAAAGCACAGGAAACGACTTGGCATGCAAGGATCTTATTTCCTATATAACTCGGTAGAGCTTGTTGATGAAGAGGTATCCCTCAAGCTCTATTGGCCCGTTGTCGGTAAAAGGGTGTGAAAAACGTAGCCTAAAATCCTAGCAATTTGGGATTCTGCTCAATCCCCAAACAGGGCTGATATTCAGAGTTACCCATCAGGAAGGGGAGGGGAAGAGGGGGTGAGATAAGAGGGGGAGAGAACCATCTCTCTCACCTCATGTGACCTTGAGAACGCCCCTTTGCTCTCCCTGCAACATCTCTCATCAACATTTGAAGTAAAATGGGGGTCATTCCAGAATTTAGGGGTCCATTTTTTATTGTTGTGTCCCAGTCACATGACTGTGTAAGTTCAGAACGCATTTTCTAATTTCCAAGAGTGATGAATTAATGCAAATTACCTACCAAACAAATAGTAATAGTTTGAAAACAATTCTGGTGATACTTCCATGCCAAATAACAACGGTCAGATGTAGCAGGACCACAAAAATGTCACACGTTTGGACCCCTAATTTCTGGAAATACCCAAAAGTGCTTAGCACTGTCCAATACAATGAGCAAGTCAACTAGGCATCCCTGACAGGTTTCCAATGAAGCTACCACTCTGATCTCATTGCTAAACAGGTGCTCAATTGACCTCCTCTTGGAGAGACATGTTTCCCATTCCAGAAGGGTGGTGACTTCCTGTAATCTTGCCATCCCTACTTGGGAGAACATCTCCCTCCTTGTCCTTGAGATGCCTCCGAAATCGCTCTCTTTATCTCTCTTGCAGGAGATCACCTTTTACCGGTGGCTTGCTCACCATCTTCCTCGTCACTAAAAATGCCTCCTTTTAGGTTAGAGTCTCGGCTGATCTTCCTATGAAATGAACAATAAGAGTTGGATTCCGGTCCTTTGTACAATTTACTTGGAACTTCTGCAGGTTCTCCTTCGAACATTCTTCAAGTTGAACCTGCCCAAACTAGAGACTCTTTAGTACAGTGACTGTTTGAGGAAGGCAAAGCCAAGGCAATGAACAATCTCAAAATCAAACCATGAGAAGCTACTCTGAAATAAGGGAAGGAATTTACATTCAATGTGAAGAATGTTTAAAAAACTTTCCCATACTGTTTAAACATTAAATGTTAAGCCAACTCTTTACAGAGGCCGCTGCCGCCGCCTACCTCAGTGTTTTCACACATACATAATTGTATAGTTCAACAATGCAAATGGTTCAATCTATGTAAAATGCAGATTGATGCTGGGGCATCTATAACAAGCAATGTTTGTTATTTAAGAATCCACTTTTTTCTCAAAAAGTACACGGATGACAAAAATGAAAACAAACAACAGTACGTAACAGGCATCGTTTGCAATAAACATGGACGCCAGATTACATCAATCAAAACATCAAACCTCTAAAAGGGGCGGTTCCATTAAACATTTAGGAAAATCTGGAACTTTTCTTGTTTAAATGTTTAAACATGCAAGGATAATGGGGTAAGTATGGCCTCGGGACTTTAGATAACTGCATTTGAATTCCTGATCCAAAAGAATGAAAGAACTCTTTACCTGGCATTTTTTCGAATGCACTTGGGGCAAGAATCGACGGTCAGGAAGCAGGTCTTGTGATAGCAAGCCCAACAACCTGCAAGACGAAAATATATATGCGCGTAAACCATGCACTTGACAAACCAAAACATCAAGAAGTCCAACATCAATGTGATAGAGCTGCTAAGCTACAGCAGAATACACCCGCTAGGTTCACAAGACTAGATATGCTGATGCAATTTCCACTTGTCTAAGCAAAGTTTGCAGTTAGTGAACTCAGTGCTTGAAATAACTGTGAAAATGAGAGAGGTTTTACCATGTGCAGAGCAGGGTCATGAGAATGAGGCCTACTGAGGCAGACAAAAGTTCCAGGTTGTTATGATCACAGTTAAAAGCCCTTGTTTGATTACTCATCATTCTAGCCCATTCCTTTACAAATAACTCCTCGTATATTTATTCTTTATGTGCCAACTTCAAATCACCTCATCTTTTTTTCCAATATAGTTTGTCAGTCTGAACAAACTCTTTTAATATGTCATAAAAATCTTATAAAAAGGAAATGTAACTCATAGGAGTTGGCCTCTGATTTATTTGACTCCAAACTTCAAAGTTCTAGAGAAGAAAACTGCAAGAATGCCCAGTACACGACTACATGAACTTTGACCCATGACACAACTGACCTTGACACTGATACGTTTTCAGCAGCTGGAAGGGAAAGATAATGTCCTGATCATTGCTGCACAGTTCACAGATAAAGCCTTTGGCCTGACACAACTGTCGAGGAAACAGAGAGAGGGAGAACGCTCAGAAATACTCACGACTGACTTCTTAGTTTTATGAGTGCTACTCTGAGGATGATCCAAACAATTTGTACCCATTCAGTTAAAAACATGGAGTGTACAAGCAGCCATTACCTGACACTGACTGACGTGAGCGACTGCATCCTCTACCAGCTGTGTCAAGTCTGTCTCCATCTCACCACCGCGTACTCGGTAGATGTCACTCAGTGAGTACAGGTGGGGCTCGTTGAGTAGATGGCGAGGTTGGGACTCATATGTGGCCTGGAGACTGAGTCAGAATAAAATATAAAGAACTCATGAGAGTCAAAAACTAACACTGACTACAATACTATCATCCAGTGAAAGAGAAAATGATTGAGTTTCATTTTACTCAATTGAGTAAAACTGACTCAATGGATGAGTAACTACTTAGCTGATTCACTTTACATATGAACACAGCTGTACTCTGTGAGTAAACTTAAACAAGGGTTTTGTCTCCATCTTGACCTTGAGAGACATGCAAGTACCAGAAGCCTAGTCAATTCAGACCAAGTAAAATACATTTGCTTGCCAAGTAATAAGTGTCAGCGAGTATCATCTACAATCTTGTACCTCTGACTTAGTCTGCAGGTCTTTAAGAAGTCCTTCAAGAAGAAAAGCTGCATCCTCAGTTCCTGAAAAAATATTAAAACCAACAACATATTACAGCTGTAGAAGTCACGAGGGGGCTTTATGTAAGCAGGTGAAAGCATGTATTCATTAAGCAACTGCTGTGTCTTCCCCTCGGAATAAAAAAGTCCCCCCCCCAAAAAAAAAGAGAATCACTCCGAAAAGCAAAGTACAACAACTTCAAAGGTAATGTTCAATGCACTCTTTCGTCTGAAAAAAATTGGCAATGGACTTACTCTGCATGTATTGAGGGATTTGACCCTTCGGTAGAGTGAGGGATTTATATCCATGACATTAAACAACGGGTCCTCGTGCATCTTCTCCAGTAGCTCTCTTGCAAAGTTACAGACAGGAACTTTCTGAAAGTCCCACTTACGCAGGATGCGACCGGGGATAGCTGCTGAGCTGTTGCTATGACAACAGTGGCAAAAGTACTTGCCCAGGTATTCACAGTATCTCAATCTCTTCACAGAACCTGTTCAGATTCAAGAAATGGAATGCACATCCAGGAAGTGAAATCGTTGCTGTATTTTTGGGTGGAAAATAAAATGCATGGAGGACATGATGTTCAACAACTCAAAAAAATCTGGAACTTCAAGAAACTAGGGAAGGGGTATTACCTCGTTCTATCCGCATTCCGCAACCTGCACAGCGATAGTTCTGCTTGGCAACTAGAACCTTCCTCCTGCACAAATGAGGAAAAAAAGTCAGGAACTGAAAAGCTGGAGGCAGCAGGCAGTCAAGCTCTGTCATGAAATACTGTAAGCTCTGAAATACCCTGGTGCCATAAAGAATCAAGCCAATCACTGAGGAAGTGAGTAGGCTTACGCAGGTGCAGTCAGGACAACATTCATGCAGTCGCATCAACTCTGTTTACTTACTTCGGAGGAGGATGGACATTGAATATGATCTGAGCTCTGGGTGGTGCCCAATCCGCATTGCCGCGTAATCGTGTCTGAAATTCAGAGAAATCAAAAATTCAGGAAATACATTGAACTGGTGTAGCACAGACTAACTTGGCCAAGCTGTAAAACATCTCAGCGTCTCCTTTCAGTTTTATAATTGCAAAAAGAACTTATAATCAGAAAAATTCAGAAGGGTACAAACACTATGCTTTGATAATGAGCATTACAAAAGAAAAGTACTTCATCTCTACATAAAGCAAGGTATTTTTCAAAAATAAAAGCACGTATTCAGAGGAAAACAGATATGGTGCACATGACTTATGCTTTAATAGTGCATGAAGTTATGAAATTCGACAGCCAAAAGAATAGCTGACCCACCTGTTACAAGCGGTAAACTGTTGCTAGTTAATGGCATTTTTTCTAAGCAAAGACAGGTGATAGAATTTTGGTGAGATTGTAGAAACTATACGAAGCTTGAGGTGACTCTGGGGACAAGACTCCATCCTCACTTTCGAAAAGACAGTTCCTCTCTGGCTGTTTGTTTTTTTCATATCAGCTTGACATCACCTTGGAAGCTACAGCAGCATGCGTATGTTTGTGACGGCACGACTTGGCATGAGCAACATCGCAGAAACGCTCGTTATTAAACCGATTTTGTGGGGACATAGACAGTTCATTCCTAAGTCGCCTAACAAACTGTCTCCTTCACATGTTGAATACATTTGCAGACAAACAATAAACTAGTCACTCTGGCGTCTCAAGGCTAAGGACTTAAATTTTTTCTTTGGAGTACCAACTGCAACGTGCCTGCATTTCACCCACACGTAGACATAATCTTCCTCGTCCAAAAAACATCGGATAGTTTTTGGAAAATGGAAGCAATTAATGAAGTAAGAAGCAGTAGATGAGTGTGCTCTGTGAGTTGAATTAGCATGAGACAGGCATTTTGGGTCATTAATGCACTAACTACAATGCCGTGAACGTGGCAGCCTGTAAACGTGTTCCTTTACCTGATCGAAAGACTGACTGCGATATAGGGAAGTCTTTTTGATCTACAAAGATGACCCAATAAAAAGACCACGTCAGGATCAGGCAGAATTGTTTTCCAACAATCCTTAAAGTGATGAAAAATATCCATTCCATACAACACTACTAATAACCACGGCAACTGACAAGATAAATGATAAAACAACTGACTCTTTCTTGGCATATAAAGAGCTAGAGTTCTCGTTTCAAATTTCCAAGCCAACTGTGAAACCACTTACATTTTTCTTGGTGTATATGTCAGCATTTTCACCGTCATCAGGAGACACAGGTAGAGACTTAGGCATTGGCAACAGCTGCAACAGAAGATCAATTCAGATACAGCACATTCAGAAAGTCAATGGTTACAATCGGATACATGTACATGTATGAAATCAACTAACATCGCAGTGAGCTTAATAGATACTCTATGACATGAACATGGAAACTAAACACCGTTCCAAAAATGGTTCTTGATGCCACTTTAATATCAAAACCAGCTCTGGAGAGTAATCAATCATGTCTATTTCCTGACTCCAAATGTCTGAAATTCACTGAAAGGCTTTAGACTGTCTTTTGCTTTTAAAAGTTTTGAACAGTGGCAAAGACATCCTCATCCACAACTGATTGATTTGGAGGGTGTGGCACCCCCCCCCAAGAAAAATCTACACATATAACAACTGGCAAAACCCAGTCAGGCAAAATCTTTGAAAGTTTGTGCAATATTTGAAGAAATATTTTTCAAAAAGTGCTCTGTGACAATACACATTCTGTAACCAATGGCCTCTTGAATAAGAGAAGGAAGAGATTAATCTCCCAATTTCTATCCCAAGCTAACCCCAGTAAGCTAGCAACTCACTGCCTGGGGTGCATCTTGTTCGGACACCAACCACTGCAGCTCGGAGGCGGCTGGAAGCTGCTTGGCAGGGAACTTGCTCAGAAGGCACAGGGCGACAGACTCTGCCGACAGCATGTTGCTGTTTGGCGTCGGGGAGAATTCACCAGGCGGTACTATAGGGGAAGACACCCTAGCAATGTCGGCATCTGCGGGAAGACAAAGTAGCAGAGCCAGTTTGGAAGGAGAGGAATATGCAGAAAGTTTGATGCCATATCGTTTATCTGCTGACTTGATATTGATCAAATGCATTATTTTGGTTTCAATGATGTTGCAGAGCTCCACAGACAGGTAAATATTATGTATTTAGAATAAAAAAAGCTCTTAATTAAATCCTTGCAATGACAAAGCAAACTTTTAAGCTCTTGTTATTTTGAACTCATAATAAGACTGAACAATTATTGTCACAGACTTTGGCAAACAGACTCCGTACGGAATTTTATCGCCCAAGAGAATGCAAGCTAAAATATCAAACTTCCAATTACAAAAGGATATATCCCATGACTGTCACCATGCTCATACCATTTTGATCAAAAACTGATGAGTTTCTAGGAGCCACTGCAATTACCATGATCAATTATTAAGATTTAACCTTCCCAAATAAACAATTTAGTCATAATTACAGAAAGAAAAAGAAAGCTTAAGAAGAATAAAACATTATGGAGTGTACAAAACTTTGCTTTGAGTAAAAACTACAACCTGGTGAACAGTTCCCTTTCTGGTACAACAGCCAAAAGTAAACAGAGGAAATAAACACTACTACAGCGTCATGCCAAGTACAGCATGGTGATCCTGATTGCATTTGACCTTTGATCTTTTTTATCTGACCTGAATAGAGTGACGCCAGTGATGTGCTCAATCCCATTGCCTGGAGAGATTGCAGGTTAGACTGTTTGGGATCAGCTAGGTCCAGATCCTCCACAGAATCAGTGTCTGAAGAATCTGAAGTAAAGCAATCCAAATACAGCTGGTGAACAATCAGTTAATTAGTCCCACAGAACAGGTGCAATAATGGTACAAGATTCAGCTACTTAAATCTAGACTACCTGCTGTGCATTTTGTATGGTGTCCTTTTATAAAAGAACCAGCTGGGCTTCACTTAACGATATTACCTCAAAGAAAATTCTGAAGTCCCCTATCTAGTTCCACTGGCATCCTTTCTACACAGTAGACCTTTTCAGAAAGGGGCAATTCAGCCCCATCTCACAATCTTAGTAACTTTGCCGACAAAAAAGACTGCTAAAAATACAGAATAATTCTGGAACAGAGAGTTATTGCCAAACTAAAAAAAAAGCAAGTGTGAGATCTTTGTGGATTAAAAAAGATCAAGAAACTGGTTTTGACACAAAATTTCATAGAGCTGGAACCTTTAACCTTGTAATTACCTTCTCCACTTTCTGTTGCTGTATCTCGAGGTGTGCTGTTAGAACTGCTTGAAGCTAGTGTGCTGGCTGTTACAACAGAAAGACAAGATTTTTAAAAATGGTTTCCGTTAATTAACTTCATTATGCCTTTTTAAAGAAACTCTCCGGAACGTAATACAAAATTCCTTCTCTCATAGTGGGCAAAAAATCATAGCGGACAACTAGTCATAAACGAGTATGAAACTCATCATGAAGCGGTCCAAAAGTTGACGCAAAAATTTCACCTGAACTGGTCAAGGTGTTTAAACCACTGTCACTCCTGTTCTCGCTGACCAATGTTGCCAGTTGACGAATGCCACCCCGCAGTTTGTCCCGTCGTTTCTCGTTACGTCGCAGCCTGATGCGTTGCTTCAGGTGTTGGATCTCCTCATCTGATGCATCTGACTCATGATCTGAGACTGAGGTGAGTTGCTGCTTGCATCGGATCTGTTCCACAGCCGCAATGATCGCTTCCGATATGCTAAAGTGGGCGTTCTCCTAAAACAATGAAGAAATTCGCTAAGTGGTCATCAATGTATGACACCAGATTCTTCAATGGACTTCTTCAAGGTAATTTTTCATGGGATCAAGTGAGGATCCAATCCCTATAGGATTTTACAAATACAATTCACAGTTTCAATTGGAATTAATAGGAAATGTTCTGTATGTTCAATGTATAACATCAGTTCGAGAAACAAGAAAAGGCTGGCGAAAAATAACACTGAATCAGAGAAATACAGATTATATAATTTTTCACTCATTTGAATATAACAACATGAGCAGTATCTTCTACTTGTATACTACATGTACTTATGGGGCATAATAAATGCCATTTGTACTTTATCCTGATTCAGTAACATATCTATTTCACGCCATCTGAATACAGGACAAATGAAAGTATTTAGATGTCTCTCATTGACTACATTACAACAGCTGTATTCTGCTATCCCAACACTGTATGACATACCCTGTCCAACTCGGGGATTCGTTCAAAGTCTCTGGAAGACAGGAAGCTCATTAGAGATTGTCCCTGGGCTGGCTGGGGGAAATAGCACTCTGTGGCTGGGGAAATGGCACCTGCAAATCAGAATTATGCACAAGGTGCTACAAGTTAATTGAAAAATGAGGCAGAGACCTTCACCTGTTGCACAAGGGCAGCGCATGATTCATCTCTGTCTAGCTGAAACAGTTACTCGTCAACCCTTTCCAGCAAAACATGTACATGTAAGACATTTGGCCTGGTGGTTAGGATTTGTAGCTTCTCATCATAGGGTCAGGGGATTGAATACTTGTCAGTGGTTACAAGTTGTTACCTTGGGCAACTCACTTTAGCCCTACGTGCCTCCCTCTCCACCCAGGAGTAAATGGGTACCTGATTGGGTACTGGTAGATGTATTTTCAGTGTTCAGATGTTTGAGCCTGATATGGCAGCATGGGGCTACATGTAGTCTAAAGGGAGCTGAGATGGTTTCAGGAAAGTTCAGATATGAACAAAATGACTATAAAGTACCGTGCCTTACATGAATCATTCATACACGCATTACAATATAATAAAAGAAATCTGCTGATAATGCAAGCGGTACGTGTACATCTGAACAAGCCACTTTCCAGAAATAGCTTGGTGAAGCCCACCAATTTAGGAGCACCAACTTGCTGAGGATAGATCTGCTTGAGCAACTACATGTATTGGGGCTTTTCCAAATCTTGGCTTCATCCCTGTCGTGGGTGTCTGGCTTCAACTTTAAGACTATGAAGGCCAATGAAGCTCTCTCTTTTAAGTATCTACTTGCCAAACATGAGGCCAGGTTTTTGTGAAAGTGTCATCTTGTCTCCTCAGAAAACATTGGAAACTGATGGAGCTAAAATTTCAAAAGGTAACATATATGGGGACTTCTTTGACAGTAAACTGCATTGGAGAACTAATCCATCAAATCCACTGTCAGGGCCCTTCAAATTCAGAGCCATTTTGGAAAAGAACAATCACTGATTAGAAACACTGTAGTTTTACCCGAGTCCAGTAAGCTATTTCTGCGTGGTGATACAAGGTGGCTTTCTGCTGGTAAGGAGTTGCTGGTTTTATCAGCTGATCTGATGCCTGCTGAAGCCTCTGCCATGTATGCTAGCGGCGGCTTGATGGCATGATCTGACTGTGACCGTGAGTGAGTTAAGAGCCTCTTCGTCTTGGCAGCGTTCCCTGCTAGGCTCAGACTGGTCTGCGAGTGTCTCAGTGGTCGGCCCGATTTGGTGTACATGCTGCCTTTCGCTTGTGGTGGACTCAAACTGGAAGAAGTCCTACTCAAGAGTTTACTCACACTGCTCATCTCGCTCCGTCTTTTCTTTCCACAGATGCTACAGGTAGTTTCGCTTAATAAGTCTGTGCTCTTGACCTCAGAGATTTCACTCCTCTGGTTGGTTGAATCTCCTAGGGAGGCAGGTTGGCTATTGCATTGACAGTTTTCTCTGGTACTGTCTTCTTCATGTAAGGATTCGAGAGGGCTACTCCCAAGACTATCAAGGAGCTTCTCAGCTTGAGGTGAGGAGCTGTACTCAAATGGCAGTTTGGGTTCTTTGTTCTGAGACACTGAACTTGGCGCCAGTAAATCGCCGGTTGTCCTGGCCCTCCTTAGGATTTTTCTCCGGGGTGGGGAGGTGGTGCCGTCCCTGGTGGGGAATTCCAAATTCATCAAGGGGTCGTTCACTGTTTTGGGGAGCTGGTCCGTGTCTCTTGAGATGGACCCGTTCGGACTGGAGTTGCCCAATACTGACAGCAGCATCGTGCGAGCAGACTCCGATTGGTGCCTCTTAAGGGTCTGTGGGTCTGGCCGAGCATGCTCATCAGATGTCGACAAGACACTCTCAGTTTTGGGCGAGGCAAAGGCTGGGGGTTGAATCTCCTCCGCTGAAACCTTCCTCCGGTGAGGCTGGTCAACACTGCTCCTGTCCATCGCAGGGCCTACAAGAGATGAGCGCCTCATTCCACTGCTTGCCGACGGCATGCTGTCTTGCAACTGCAGCCAAACACAAAGCGATGTGAAAAAACTACCTGAATCAAAGGAAATACATCAATACACAAGCGTCTCACAACTTGGAAAGCATCCAAGTACATGTATCATACCTCAATGTCCTGTAACATAACATTGTTATTGTTTTACAGTGCATGACACAGAGAAGAAAAGCAAATTTGACAATGCAACTACGACTGGTACTCCATTTGCATTGTAGTTTCTGATGCAGAGGCAGTCATGCATGCTGGTAGACAGCTTTAATTTGCAGGTACGCGTGCATGCATGTAGATAATAGTCAAAAATAAAGAGGGAAATACTGTACTTCTACAGGCATGAATGCTGTACAAAGGCTGGTTAATGTGATGGTGGTACTTTCAAGTGAAAGCAAAACAAGACAGATTTTGTGACGTCAGCCAACACAGATTGCAATAATCGTCATTTCCCTTGCAAATACACTGCACTTTCAAAACGCTTTGGACATGAATACAACAGCCACACCGACAGGGTCAAACCATGCTCATGAATTCTACTTAAAAATACAACAGGTGATCAATACAGAAGATTCAACTGCTGACTCACGTTTTGCCTTCATATTACGTTATTATATTGCAACATTAATTGATAACAGGGGTACCAGTACGGTACAACATACACGTACAATGTACATGTACTTGGCACAAACACAGTTGCAAACTTACATACAGTATGTACAAGTACCCATGGTCACATGTACAGGTAGTCATGTTACAGCACACAGAATGTACATGTACATGTATTTGTATATCATGTACACCTGTTTCACTTTAACTTCAATTGTATGCTGATTGGTAAAAGAATATGCTGGGTCACTGAAACGGGTTCATTTATATTCACAAGGAATGAATGATTTTTCCAGGTGGGTAATTCCAGAAATTAAGGCTCCAAAAGTGTGACATTTTTGTGTCCCTGTTACATCTGACCTTTGTTATTTGACATGGAAATATCACCAGAATTGATTTCAAACTATTACTATTTGTTTGGTAGGTAATTTGCATTAATTCACCGGACCCCTAATTTCTGGAATGACCCAAAAGTGTTCTTGTGGCATTGATTTTAAATGGATCTATCAATTGGGGTCTCCAAAATGTGCATTTAGAGACAAAAAAGCAGTTTAATTTTTAACAATGATGCCTGCATTAAAATTGAGCTGTGGGCATTTGGACGTGTACATTTACAATGGAAAATTCCATCAAGCATTGTGAAATGTATCTTTACTTTTTTAACAATTACATCAGCAGGAAAATATTTTAAAAAATTGAGTTATGGCCACTTGGACATGTGCTTGTGCAACAGAAATTCTTTCTAGCATTGCAAAATACTTTTTCCGTTCAAAATGACACGGACAAACAGTGATTTCCTGAAATCGAGATACAAAGCACTTCAGCTTCATCCATGTTGTTTATCTGGTATTTCCAGATACCTATATGTCAGTAGATAACAGATTGTGAAATATCATTTATTCTTGTATGCAAAAGTAAAAGACAGAAAGACTACAATTTTTAAACCATCATCTCATGAACTTTCATTTTTTTTAGTCTGTAATAGTGTAGCATGTTACAAGTTCACCAGTGTAGATTCTTTCAATGTATTCCACATAAAACTTAAAGAGAAATTGAAAGTAGGAATAAATAAATCCTTAACTGCTACTACCCTTACTAATCCTTCCGAATCAACCAGACAGTTTAGAAAGACTTTGTAGGATTCAGGCTGGTAGAACCCAACCTGCCAGCCACTAAGATAATTTTTTTTCCTGGGGGAGGGATTCTCAGTAGAAAAAGAACAAGGGGATGGACTGTCATCATTGTTTCATCAAGTCACCTGACCGCCCGCCTTGAGGACTGGCAAAAAAACACCTGTTGAAGGGCAGTTTTTGCTTGTTCAGAATTACATGTACATGCCCCAATATTTTTCATGTGTCTATCACACTGTTGAACAATTCTTCACATATACATGTACATGCTCATCATATCCTTTTAAAATCCTGGGCAGAGAGGAAATATGGCCATATGGCACAAAGGCATGATAGGGGCGTGAGTTTCAGAACCTTGTCTGGGAGCGGACAGGCTGTTTATAAGCTTGGTTGGAAACGGACGGGCAGATATTTCAATTCTATATATAGATGACACCCAGACTGTCATGCAAAGGGAAACCTTTTGGAATTTAGGAAAACTCTCAGCCAAAGGTTCAGAGAGTTACAAAGTCCAATACAATGAGGCTGTTCAAAGGCTGATCCATTTCACACACAGGAAGTCCATGTGAACTCTTATACACGTACTTCTAAAAATAGACTGAAGGTACATGTACATATACATTGAACCAAAGAAAATCATGTTTTTATAATCCTTATCAGTTACGATTCAATGGATCTCCTACTTTAAACATAATGACCCAAGAAAGTACAGAAACACCGGAGGAAGATTACGCATGGACGAAGATTTGGCATGTAGTTTTGAGGACATGATAGCACGTTTTGGAAACATGTTTAACTGTAACAGGCTAAAAAGTATCCTAAAAACTTCCAACTAAACCTTAAGACCATTAGAAGATCCGCTCCAAGTGGAACAATACCTGAATACAGGGCATGTTTTTTGGGCACTCACCATATAGTCGCGCCGTGAGGTGCCCAAGTACATGCGCATTCAACACGGAGCACTCTGCCTACATGTAACTAATTTATTCTGGCTTGTATGGCCTTTGTGTACACGCAGAACGTGTGCAAGAATCCGCTTGTAACCACTTGTCTTTCTTTCGCCGATTGGGGTTACACTTCAGCTCGGGGCGGATATTGGAGGCCAAGGCATTTGACCAGGCAAAATTTCATCAAACATGGATGTTAGATGCATCACCACTAAGCACACAGCATGCTAATCTATGTAGGTACTGTGAGTCTATGCGATTTTTTCACTTCTTTTCTGAAATTACTAGCAAAACAAACATACACAAAAGTTTCACAAGAGCAGGACCTGCACAACAAACTCCAGGTTTGCCAAAAACAATATTGAAACATCAAAACTTGTGCCAAAAACTTACCACATGACAGTACAGACAAGAGAGCTAACATGTCAGGTAGAAAAAACATAATTTACTCAACATGAAATTCACTTCTTTGGTTTATCAAGCCTCTGGAATGGAAGGTTAGTGGACAAAGCACGACAGGTATCTCTGCACACTACCGGGGCCAGTTTCATAGAGCTGCTTAAGCACAAAACCTTACTTGAGAAAACCTTACTTGATTAAATCAGGTAACCAGCCAAAACTCCATGTGATGTACATATTGTTTGGGGATTGTATTTAGCTGGTTTTTGGTTAGCATGACTATCAGATAAAGTTTGAGCTGGTAAACCTTTGTTTATTTAGCAAGGTTTTTTCTTGCTCTATGAAACTGGCTCCAGACTTTACATGAATGAATATCTTTTTAAATGTGCTTTAGTTGATTAAACTATTCTGATATGAAGTCATTGAACCACAGTTAAAATATTAACTCTGGTTAACCAGTAAACCAGAGGTAGCCCGTTAACCCTTGGAAATGATCTATTCTGAATAACTCGCTCTCTGAGTAAAAAAGGGTTTTCTTGCCGTAACTCATGACATATAGAAAGATTTGTAAAAATATCTTCACTACAAATTCTGCAATATACGTGTATATCATAAATTCCTTCAGTTTCGATTAAAATCAGTCTGACACGATGAGTTCATTTATAAAGAGAAGGAATTTTTAATCAACCTGCGTAGCTTTTAAATGCTTCACATTATCATAAGCAATCAAGGGTACTTTTGAAAGCACATTTTGGGCAAATTTACAAAGCACAACATACATTGTGATTCCCAGGCAAGACTTCAAAGATCAAACAAGCTCAGGCTTTTTGATATACAGGATGGTGGGGCATAAATGTAAATAGAGAGAAACAAATCCACAAGACTTACCAGCATTGGATCCATATCAGCTAGAAGTGAAGCATTGTTTTGCTCTACAGACTGGAGGCAAATGTACAGTGCCTTGAAGTGGGCTTCACTACAAAGAAAGGCATCATCTGGCAGAGAGGAAGATGACGAGAGATCCAATGAGATAGTGAGGCTATTAGGAAAGGTCAGGAAAAATCATGAGATGCTTCGGGAGTTAGCACAGCCAATGCTGGATATGAAGCTAAGGTTACAGAAATGGCCGTAAATTACCCAGCCAAGAAATGGCTGTGGATTACTCTGTCAAAGAAATGGCTGTGGATTACTCAGCCACAGAAACAGCTGTGGATTTATACCCGCCCAAGAAACGGCTGTGGATTACCCTGTCAAAGAAATGGCTGTGGATTACTCTGCCACAGAAACAGCTGTGGATGTATACCCGCCCAAGAAACGGCTGTGGATTACCCTGCCACAGAAAAGGCTGTGGATTACTCGGCCAAGAAATGGCTATGGATTACCCTGCTATAGAAGTGGCTGTGGATTACCAAGCAACATCCACTCACCATGATAATATCTGCTGAGATGTTCTTTGTCGTCCACTAGGAGCCTGAGCTGGCTGGAGAGGGTATGCGCCTCCAGACTGGTGTGAAGCCACAAACTTCCTGCATCCATGCCCTGCTCCGTAGACCGTCTGTGCAAACGATCGACAGAGGGTGCTAGCACAGGCTGCAGACGACGCAACCCCATGACAAAGTCCCAGTAATCTCCACTCATTGATGAGTACGGCTGTAGAAGCAAATGATTCAGGGTCCATATGATACGTACAATCAGAATTTGGTTACATCTCATTTTCACTTTGCAGTGATCAGTTGTAATTGCTACTGTAAAAATACATGTACCGACAACAGGGTGTGTCAAAATGGTGGGGGGGATGTTGATGGCAGAGACTAATCCAGTATCCTCGTTGTTACAAATTTGAAGTACATATCCAGTAGCACAATTCTGCGCATGCATGTGTGTAAATGTCCACTCTCCTATGCAAAGATGCATGCAAAGATGTCCTATCTTCAGTTAAAATGTGTCTGCGTATTGGGGCAAATCAAGTAGAACGATTTTTTGACTTGATTCTGTGACTGTTGCATCAAAAGGAGGGTTTAGAGGTACTCAAGACAATTGTTAAGGAAAAATGATTTTGCTAATTTGCTTCTCTAAGGTGCAGATTACACAACATTCATATCTGAACAAGAAAACAAATTTGAAAACTTACAGCTCCCTTTGGCTGTTTGAGACCATGTCGCATGACTTTGTCTATTTGGTTACACAGCCTTGTAAGTCCACCGTAAGTAGACCACACGTTGGTAGTATGCGCTGCTAACAACCCCTCAACGGTGAACTTGAGCCCCCACAATAGCTGCTGGTGCTGTTGATGGCTGTTCAAATCACAACAACCAGTAAAGTCAACTACAATTAACCACATTTGTTAAACCTCTGGCTGGGCGATTCCATGGGAACAGAATGAAATTCTTGATGACACATTTTTAAAATTATATGACACATCAAATTGGTACTTTGCGAACTATTCACCTCCAGCAAAAGCAACCCCCCTGAGCAGTTGAAGAGAGCCATGTTGGTCAGGAGCGCTCATTTTGCTGGTAACGATGCGACCGTAACGCGTGCATTTCATAGTCGTCTGTGAACCGGCAAAGTGCACTTCCTACCAAAGAAGTACGAGTCTGCATGGCCAGGAAAAGTGCACCCTCTCTTGGTCCAACTTGGGGCCCATGTTGTGTACTTGTCTTGACCATTGACCATGTTAACACTAGCCTGTCAAAAGTTTACAAAGCATGTCTACTACAGCCTACATCTACATAGGCCCTCAGTTGGGCCTGTTTGTAATTTTTATGTAGGCCTTGGCTTAATTTCTTTTTTTCAATTTCAAGTAGGCCCTAGGCCTACAACATGTTTAAACACAGGTCTTCTGTATGGAATTTGTACTCAGTAAGTGAATAAATTAAAATACCAAGCTGAGTGATGCTTGGTCATTACATCGATAACTGTAATCATGATAATGATTCAGTCAAACTTATCAAATGACAGTCGTCACTGATGTGATGTCATGATCTGATGATCATGATGATGGTCTGTTTTTGTAAATTCGTAAAAGTAAAACCATGAGACATGAAAACAGCACACTTTGACTTTACCTGTCATTTTCGTTGAGTCTAGAATGACGACCTTGCTCGTCCGACATGTTTTTCAAAACTGGATCAATCTGGTCTTACAACTTCAAAGGGCTCTAGTCTTGGTAGGCCTACCCCGGAAATAATCAGCCATCTTGCTTTTTTGGCAAACTGCGTATCATCTATCTAATAATTCTCAAACACGAACATGCATGACGGACACAGTCACTGATGGTTGATCCAAACCATTGGTGGCCGATTTTCCTAAGAGTAAGACAGTACAGACCAACTTCAGCCATCTTAAAACTTCATTTGCATGTTGAGTAATCTTGCAGTTATCATAGATGACCGTAATGTGACGAGAAAATTCCTCGTTATCCGTAAAAAATGATTACTGTGATCGATGTGCGAGTGTGACCTTCGCCTTCAACGTTCAACGCAGAGATTAGCCTCTAATAGTCAGTCTGGTTACAGCCGCTCAATCGGGACAAGTTCCAATGAGCTAACGTGTATTTTATCCCAAAATGGGCGGAGGTGTGAAGCAGACTACCCAGTATAAAGTTTAAAGGTCACGTATACTGTCTGGCTCCCAGACGTCATAAGCACTAAACCATAACAAATGGTTGCAAGTGCCTTTTTGGACTGACTGGCGCGTAATTTTGACGAGTTTTCGTCTGCCACGGTATCCTTCCCGGCATTTAGCACTCGGACTGAGTGCCAGCAGTTACACTTGAGTTTCAAGAAAGATAAGACTATTATGAGGTAAGTTAGCTCGAGCTTAACATGTCCAAGGTGGGAAATAGTTGACCTACATGTATTTTTACATAGGCTACCTCCTCCATAAAGCCGAAGGCTGCCTGGTTTCGACATGTGTTAGGGGTAGTCAGGTTGGACGTTGTCTTCATTTCATTACGACTGACGGAGTACGGTCAGGGAGTCCACCTGGGCTAGTGGTAGGGCCTACTTTCACACGTTTCAGAACCATTAGAACTGTAAGGTTTTTACAAACTTTACAGATAGCCATGTACAAACTCCCATATAGGTCTAAACACATTTTGGCTGTTTTAATTGTGCCAACTTACTCTTCTGTCACCGCTATTTTTGCAACCAAATTTCATACATGTACAATGCCTTCTTGGAAAAGTATTATCAGACATTGATGGGGGGGGGTATTCACCTTAGGCTTATATCCTCATTAAAATGGTGAAATTCTTGAGCATTTTGCCCATCCACACTACAGAAAATCAGCAGCATGTCTATTCTCAATAATTGCCAGCTGTGTGATAGCTTGACCAATCGCAACACAGCTCCTATCTTTTGCTTTCCTGACCCCATCCAAATGATAGGCCTTGGCTAGGTTCTCACAATTCTCTAGCAAATAGCATACTACTCTAGATAGACTGTTCCTGGTTTTATGTATAATGATTCTATGACATGTAGGCTATAGTGGGGTATGATATTGAAAGTAAAATCGTTATCATAGTTTTGGTTGACATTAACTTTGTTACCTCTTTATCAATTTTTGAGTTTTACACATTTTGAATATGTGTCTGAATATCATATTCACAAGTAACAATAAATACACATATGTTGGCATTTCCGGATTTTCTGTTTAGTTGACCCTAAGAGACATGACTTCCAAACCTGCTGCAGCATTGACAAGTGTGATCATCTTTAGCAATGATGCAACGGAGCTGACTTTCTCTGATGGTACAAAACTGGAGCTGTCTCCATGCGGTGCAAGTTTCGTGTGCCAACGACCTACTGGTAGAGGGCAGCATGCCCTTGGTGGAGAAAAAAGAATTCAGCAAAGGACAGAGTTTGCCACAAACGAGTTTAAAGATAAAGTCCGTCAAGCTCTCGAATGCCGGAACCGCTTTGCTGAACATCCATATCTTTGTCATCTCTTTTTGTGTGATGAAACAATACTGGTAAAAATCTGGCTGTTTCCAAATCACATGTGAGTTTGTACCTTATAGCAAACATTGTTATAGCTATAACTGTTTCTGATTTTTTGTTTTCATTTTAGCAACTTTTTGCAGATATCAAGGCTGTCAAGTGGCCAAAACATGCAAAAAACCTTCCATGGAAAACACAAGCAAATGGTTCTGTTAAAGTGACATCCATTGATGAGTGTGCCTCCTTGTTCCTCTCAGCAAATAAACAAGAGTTCACTGTAGAGTTCCTCTGTAAGTTGAGTCAAAAGGAACTTCCGAAGAGGCCAGTGAAAAGGCAGGCAAAGTTCATTCAAGGACAGTCTGTGAGGATTCCACAAGATGACGAAAGACCAACAACTGAGATGGACTTGGCTTCAAATATTGAAAGAGTAGTGTATGGGGGCTCATCAGAGCAGTTCTCCCAAACTGTCTGTGTACAGGACAGCCCTTACATGGAGACTCTAGTCAAAGAGAAAGAGTCACCTAGGAAATCTAAATGCTTCAGATATTGCAGTCAGGTGTCATCTGATGGCTATGATGAAAATGATACAGGTTCCTGTAGTAAGATGGAATGTCCTCAAGGCGTAAAAGGTCAAAGCCCAGCAATTGAAAAGTTTATTGCCATCAAGCATGGTTACACATGGGTTGTACAGCACCACGCAGTTGAACACTGTCCAGAGTGCTGGAGACACCCATTGCATTTGGCTTTGAATTTTGTCCCAGAAGAGAACTCTGGGACCCCTCCAGAAAAGAAAGGGTTAAAAGTGTCATTTGAAGCTGATGTTGGCTCCTCAGATAAACACCCTGCAGAAAGGAGAGTTGTGAGAGATGTTAACATTGGAAAGAAGAAAGACAAAAAGATCCTCCAGGGGCCAACTTCTCCGGGAGAACCCTTGATGGATGCTGAACTTGTCACATCACCTCTCCCTGATCCACTACCACTCTCATGTGGGGCCAGCCACCTCCATAAGTGGAGGAAAGATGCAAGTGCTAGAGGAGTGGATCTCAGAGAGGAAGACATTCCTGCTGGCAAGAGTATCAAAGTTTGGTTTTCTAATGGACACATTTTCAGGTATGTGTAATCAGCAAGCTGGACAGCATGACTCTGTCATAAAAATGACCAATAACAGGTCTCTGCATTGATGTAACTATGGTACACTGTACATGTATTTCCATAAAGCGGTTCTCAATCCTCTGAGTCCAATATGATTTTCATACATGCTTGGGGTTAGGGTTAATTCATTTAAAACACTTTCATGTCTAGATTGAATCCTTTCTAAAAAAGTTCTTGAGCTGTATCATAATTTTTTGCCTTTTGGTTTGGTTTCATATGTGATTTTCACACTACTCAACTTGTCTTTTCAAAGAGAAAGAACAATAAAATTTTGTTTTGACCATTGGGAGCTAATAAAGTAATTATATACCAAAGATAGTCGTTTTATTGCATGCCATTGATTCAGGCTGTCCAGGACCCCTCATCCATCCGTCCAAATCTACCCGGGGGATGGCACTGTCATCAAGTCAACAGGTGGAAAAGGCGGGTTCTTCACACATATTATCCCACAAGGTGGAAGTCTTGATGAAAGAATGTTGTGTGTAAGGAATCCACCACCAGATTGTCCAAGAGCTAAGTACTCCATTGCTGGAGTCTTAAGAAAAGCCTCAAGGGAAGTCAAATTCTTTTCATCAAATTTTCATGTCATTTTAATTACATGTACCATTTTCTTTGGCACAGATTTTGTTCTAAGGATACTTGATAAAATTTAACGAAAAAAAAGGACAAGTCAGGTTGTCTCATTGTAATCGAGCGATTTCAATGCTTTTCAATAGGCTCTTGCAGAATACAATGCAGGCAGAACTGGGTTTGATATCTGGAGAAGAAAATTGCTGTTGGAAGGTAATGCAACTTTTTTATTTCATCTGAGTATGATATATTTTGACTTGAAAAATTATACAAACATTTGCAAAATATCCCATCTTTCCATTCACGTAGTTGCATGCTGTCTTTTAAATGTACTGTACTTGTAACTGATATTTCCAAACTTTCTTGCATGTTTTGTTTTGTACAACATGTATGTTACTTTTATCAAGCCATTCAGACTTTTTGATTTGATTTGAAGTAGTATGAAGAGTAAATATAGTTTCAATTCCGACTTGCAGGCAAACTCTGGCTGGCTGCTTAAAAGTCCAAATACCACGGTGGTCCTTGAGGAGAGCAAGATTGAAGGTCTTGGCCAGTTTATCGCTTTCTCAAATGGAAAGGTCCGAGTGGTGTTCAGTGACCGCACCACCCTTGACATGGAATGGGACTTCAGAAATCGAGTTGATGGAAATGGCGAACATCAGAACAAGGTTCGTAAATCCACGTGGATCATTGTCCTTAGTTTTCTAAATTTCTTCTCCGGTCACTTTTCTTGGAGAAGTATATCAAAATGGAGCTTGTGTGAGACTTTTTGGTTTACTGTTTCTCTCCTTTTCAATTTACCTTTGAGCGGAATGTGCAAAATCATCCAGTGGCTCCAGCTCCCAGAATAAGGAAGTCGTGTTTTGAGTCCATTCTTCAGAAGGGTTGCTGTCAGCTTCTCTTACCAAACGGTGACTATAAACTAGTCTGTCTTGACAATCCACAAGAATATGAAAGGTAAAGGATGCTGTAATGGATTCAAGAGCCGTTTGGGTATTAGATTATCCCTTCAAATTATCAAAATATGATATCTAGATCTGTTGGGGGATTACAATTGATTTCTGGTGAAGCATTGACTTGGAGGAACAGCATTCGTTCATGTATGTAATATACGATTGCCACCAATTGGCTTGCCCTAGCAAAGAGGTAACTTTCAAATGATTTCTTATTCATCTGTGGTCATTGCTTATTTGCAGGCATGTAAAGGCTGCAGTGGAGTGGGCGTCCTGGGTGGCAAGCTCTCCCGAAGAAAGAGTCGCATTCTACGCAATTAATGAGTCCTCTCTATCCCAGCATGATTGGTAAATATTAATATACTAATGGTAGTTGCTGACATACCCAGAAAGCAACCAAGACTGACATATATCCCATCCCATCAAATTTCAATCCATAAAATTAACTGACAGATGAATATATACCAGCATATCTAACAACATTCCCCCCCCCAACACCAAAAATTGTCAATAATTCATGGCAAAATGTCAAACACAAGTAATATTAATAACCATGTGTTCATTATGAATGTTTTTGAGTAAGTTAAAATAATATTACATGTAATTGTTGAAATATTGACTAATTGTCAATGATGTTGAACCTCTGTTTTTCCCTTCATCAGGGCTGTCCAGAAAGAGCTGCAGAAAATAAAATGCTTTGGGTGTATCCTTTGAATTTGTGAAATTGTTACGATAACAAGCATATATTTTGCATAAGTTTGTGCTGTAAATTTATATTGCGCCCTCTGTAGCTGAATCAGGACCATGAAGCTGTCGGGGTAGTATAGTTGTTGATTGCCATTTGCGATACACGTAGTAACTTTGCAAAAACCAGACCAGCAGAGCTGAAATAAAGAAGTCGTCAAACAAATGCTGGGGGGGGGGTAATTACAAAGAAGATTGTAGTGAATGTGCGCTTGTTTTGTTTACTTGTTTATAGCACCAACGAAAGACGTAACTCCCCCCCTCGCAAATCTAAAGATGTATATCACTCAGTTCAGCACGTCAGCCTTCACGCATTTTTCCGGGAATGAGCATGCAATGATTTAATACGCAAGGCTCAAGCTGACGTCGCCGACGAAGTAAAACTGTATAGTTCAAGGAAAATCCTTGTCCAGACCGCAGAAGTCGTGTTTGAATGGGAAATTGCGAAACTTCTGAATTGCGTAGTTGTACTTTAACGCGCGTTTGTTCTTCAGTTAGGTCGATTCAATTTATTAGCCGTGTGACGTTAGTTCAGTTAGGCCTATATATCGCAGGTTGAAGGAAAATATGTTTGAAACTTGTGTTTCTGATGATCTTAAGCTAAGAATGCATGTATGGATGTTAATGTTTGGAAGTGTGTTTTTTTCTGATTTTGTTTTAGATCTGCATTTTTTTCTCACATGCCTTAAAAAAATACATGCAAACGAACCCAGTGGTCTCAGGTGCGCCTGTTAACAAGATATCATGTCCAGGGTTGGGTGTCATTATAGTGGATGTGGAATAGCACATCAAATTTTCCTCTGCCTTATTACTCGCCATTTTACTTTTCGGCTGATTGTGAGATTTCCAGGGTAATGTCGTTAGTCACTCTCATTATGGAAAACAACAGTAAATCAAACCTCGCTGGAAATTGTTATCAGCCAATACGTGCGCCTCATCTGGAAGATAAACCATAATACATGCATTCTATATCCAATTTTGACTATCCTATATGTTTGAACCTGCCGTTTGCTCACCTTAATCGAATTCCATCCCATAGGTTTTACCGAGAGGTTCGCAAATGCGTAAAACCAATCACTGCTGGCGTCACATTAACATGAAAAGTGTCTTTCGGTAAAGAAAGCTTTCTCTTCATTTTCAACCAGTATCTGCACTAGACTAGAACAATATACATGTATCATAACGAATGCCTGGAGAAGACTTGGAAGTATGAAAGCCCAATAGCGCCTGAAGACGGGGAAGGGGGATTGCATGGTGGAGTTTTAAAAACAGAATTTACCCCTAGTAACGCAAAATTGGAATGACGATAAAGCTCAGTTTGGATGATGAAATAGTTTAAACGCAACAAAATCCTGTTGTGAAACCAGAAAACAAAATGCCAGGTACGTTACATCTTGTTTTTGGTGATTCAATGTAGTAGAAAACTCCTCATCACTAAAATTTGACAACCCCCGAACAGCTGTCCAACCCATGTGTTTTCTAACCTACAGTGTACATGTATGTACATAATGATAACGTATGTGTCGGTATATATACACTGTACGTGTAGTTTTTCACATTAGGCCAACATATTGGTCCATAGACAACTCTCCCTGTAAGTCCATATGACCAATTTACACAATGCGTTGCACTCATTTCTGTTCGAGTCGTCTGTTTGCCCAGTTGCCCAGATGCTCTCTTTGTGTGTTGTTCGTGCAATGATAAACTGCACCACTTGCAAACACCTCCCCCGTCCAAGTTGCCCCTTCAGAACAGAACATCGCCTGACACGACACACGCAGTGCTACCCTCGCGAATTCCAAGTCTCCCCGTCAACAGTAATGTCAATACATGTATTGAATTTTTCTACAATGTAGTGAACGTCTCTATAATGTAGTGAACAATCGAAAATGTGCGCATAGTCGATTTCATTAATGATGTGTTTAAGTTTATTTTTGATGATTGTCCCCTCTGAAGTCACCGTAGGCCAAATGTGCGCTGGTTTATCTCCACAAACCGTCTAGGATCTCTCCTCCAAAATGGGGAAAAACTAAGTTTATTAATTTCCCCGAGGGTACCCCTCCTACTCACGATCTTTTCCTTCTCACGTTGGCTACCTTCATGTCTCTGTCTGCATCAACCAATGTGTTCCCTTGGCACCATGTGACACAAAAGCACAACCCTCTCTCTGATATTGCATGCACGAAAAATTAATAAGATTTCAAACGTTCGCGATGCAATCTTGATACCTAACCTCCTTTCCAGGGTACCGGTATCATTTGGGATTTAAGTAAAATGAAACTTGATGTTTTCAGGTATATGTTTTTCTGCTGAATATTTGAGGTGGCATTGCTTTCGTAATCGCACGTATTAAAGTTTCCCTACAGTGTTCCTGAAGCTTCAGTAGCTTTCCTTTCATTCTGTGTTGCCATGAAAAAGGGTTGGAAAAGCCGACGACAGACTAAAAAATCTTGTTTTGTGCTGTAGAAAATGCTTGCAAAATTGACATGTTAAAACAAATTAACAAATTGAATGTTTTACTTTTAAGTTCCGACATTCTCTAGCTCTCCGAAAGTGATTCGCATTAGCCACTGACCTAGGCCTTCTACACGATATTGTGTTTCTCTTGACTTAAGATTCAAACTTTCTTTGATCTCGACAAGCCTATCCACGTACCTTGGCCTAGTTGTAGAAGTATTTTTTAAACTTTAATACCGCCACTGTGAATCCTATATTACGATTACACAGCTTATTAAGGCAGCATGCAAGGTCCTATACCCAGCAGCTCGAAGCATTCCATTGCTTGTTTTCCTTCGGGCGGGCAGAGATGATTATCTCCCTGCCTCTGAGATGATTCGTGTGTTGGAGCACCTTCAAGATGATATTTGGGTAAAGATCGGGGACAGAACCGGGGGCGGATTTAAAGAGAGTCACCGAATGGAGTGTATTCCAAGGAAATACACAAATCAGAATGCCGCTAAAGAAGCTTCTTGCCCGGCTTATTTTCTTTGTTCAAAATATCGGAATTATGAATTTGTCATTATTAGCGTGCACCCCAGAATGTTTAATGCCATTTGCGGGAGGCATAGTCTTTTGAACGCCGGCACAGTGAGATGAGATGAAAAGATCTCAGCCCACGCTAAATGAATGCGGGTAAACCTTTATAAAATAAATAGTGTAATTGCTGTACAGTCGACTTAGTTGTGGTTTTTAATGTTAACAGTCCCCCCCAAAAAAGAAAGAATAAGGAAAACTCCCCCACACCCTCGTACCCCTTTGATCTTTTTTCACCATCAAGTTGTGTGTGAATGTTGTATGTGTAATTTCTGCGTGTTTTATGGCTATGGCGCGGCGACTCACTGCGGTGCGCATATTTTGTATTGGGGAAAAAACGAAAACGTAGCCCATTTAAAATAATACCTGATTCGGCCATGGCCTGATACCAGAGATGGCAGACTGCAGAAGAGTTTTGGGGATGTGATGTAGGTTACGAAGGGTTAAAAACTTAGGAAGTGATATAAGCACGTCTAGATTCGTGCCCTCTGGCGCAGATAGGGCCTATCATGGCGATGCAATATTATGAACGAAAACAGGTGTGAGACTTGAATTGCAGTAAAAGTATCCGAAATGACACTTTAAAGTTACGTAGGTTTATCATTGCAGTGCATGGACACATCACTCTTTATTTGTAAGTCATTTTTACGGGAAAATGGCAGATGATTACAGTGTCTTACTGCCTAAGGTTACATGTATAAATATGCCAAAGATGGGTCACCCAGACACATTTTGGAGCATACTGTTTTAGATTTTTTTTCCTGACATGTTGCTGGTCAGATATCCTTGATATTGCTCTTTTACCTGATGCGGATCGAAAACTTGGCGATATGGGTGACATTAGCCGGACGGACGGTCCTCTTTCCAGGGATGTCTTAAGCAGGAGTGTGCCGCCAACTGATGAACCGGATGACCTTACCTTAGCGGACACAGCCCCCGACTTTGTTGTAGACGCACTCCGAAGGACCAGTCACACAATCCAGAACATCGATTCCTTGCTGGATAAGTTTTGAGGACTGATTGAGAATGGAGCTGGTGAGATCTCAGTAAAATGACGGTTCCATACACTTCATTGGCATAGAGCATTGTAAGCCCAAAAGTGACTAAGCCTCTCTTCCGGATGTAAGCAGCCATACAGCTACAAGTACATGTAACGTTTGCCTATAAAAAGGGTAGTCACTGGAGTCCACACGTGTGTTATTTCCCGCAGCCTGAAGCCATTTGACATAGTCGAAGGGAGCTGTTCAAAGTTTGATACGGCCAAGCGGAAGAAGTTGTGTTCTGATTAACATGCACAATGTACCCACCAGCTGGAAACGTCATAGGCCTACGTGCAGGGCCAAATTTATCACTTCCATAAGAGAATGGAATTTAATTCTAACTTAGAAATGGTTTTCAATGAGTGACTGTGTTCTAAACGGACTAATCTGGAACAATTTCAAAGGGAATATACCTAGGGGCGTAACGAAGGCATTTCGGGGGGGGGGTGTACCAGAGTCAGTTTGCCGACTTGTAACTTGTTTGTCAGCCTCGTGTCTTGTAGCCAACGTTATGGTTTTGGATTCACTTGCCGCCCAAAGCTCTATTTGCCGAATAGAATTGATGGGGGGGGGTTGCTGCACCCCCGAATGTACCCTGGTATCATTAAAGTATGCAATCTGCATGACCTAAGTACATGTAGGGTTTATAGTCAATACCCCATAGAAAAGGAATCGCTGCCATGACTGCTGTGTAGCCTACTTGCAAACTTTTGGATACTGATATGTATTGTTTTTTCGGAGCCATCCAAAATTGAAACATTCGGAATCTTACACGATGTTGTGATTGCTGGCCTCCGTGCGTCATAAAATAGAAACCATTCTCTGAGCTTCAAAGGCTGTACTAATTTAAGAAACGTAGTGACGCGTTCATGTGAAATGTGAACTACTTGCACTTTCTCCGTTTACTGGCAAGTCTGCCTGTGAAACATGCGTGTGATTTGTCATTTTTCGTATGGATTTCACACACCAATATAATGCCCTAGTCCAAGACATGCCGAACATTACTTTCATGGATGTGTTTGAAGCACATAATTGCAGCAGTGCACCCACACTAAGTTGCGCTCCTCTGGTGCGCAGATGCCGCATGTTTGGGTATATTGCCTTTAAAATCATTGGTTGCTCTGCGTGCGTGCTATTAGTACACGCGTTTGAGTATGTCCGTACGCGCGTGTAAATGAATGCACACGCATGGTATGCCAATCACTGCGTCAGGTGAGGCCACGTCCAAAGAGACATTCGAGAGCCACGGCTGTGTTTGTTGAATTTCATCATCTGGGCTAGACCTAGTTCTTGTCAGGACGCGGTCCGAGTGAGCCAGTCTCATATCCCACTTGGAGTGTATCGCATTTTCTTTAAGTTTAGGCAGTAGATTGAAGTCAATTTCATTTTGTAAAAATTTTGCATGTCGAACGTTTTTAATTGTCTCTACAAAAACTGCGCGTTGATTGCCCACCTGTTGTATTCAGTGTAGCTCTAGGGCCATGATAACTTACCAGGAACCGGTAGTTGTAAATCCCCCTGACATAATCGTCAGCAGCATTGTAATAACTATATTCCACTTATCGATGAAAGCCAACGCCCCGGGTCATACGAGGCGTTACAACGTGACTATTGAATCCATTCGTCTTGAAATATTGAAGTTCGAGTTGGTTGATTAACCTTGTATGCATGGACCGTGGGCTGATTAGCTGCCTTAGGGGGTCGATTCCCAAACTATGTAGTCAACACCTTGCGTAGATACCAATTTGTGAATGCATTGGGTCACAGAACTTCATGTCGCGGTTGACAAATTGAAGGAAAGGTGGCCATCATCAGATCAAATTAAAGGGAAATGTGGACAACTGTAGGCTCGGCATCCCTTTTAACGGTCCTTATAGGCTTAAGAATCTTTCAATAAAATAAATCAGAATGCGTCAAACTTGAGGATTCAGTGTTGTCTCGTTACAAATAAGTGTTTGCTCCACCTGAAGAAATTAAACACAAATGCGTACTGAGCCAGTTCAGTATTCCAATAGCGCATGCCCAAAGTGAAGCGCGTCGAGGTCATTCGGGAACAGCAGCACGCGCACACGATTGTCTGCCCTATCACCGCTGCCACACTGCAACTCATGCGCGTGCTTTGTTTTCAGATGACCTTGAAATGTCGAACTTTCCTATTCATTAGCAGCAGTGACCACAGTCTTTTTTTTTTTTAGTATACCCTGTATGCTTGCAGATGCTTTTCTCGGTTGTACTTTTATGAAAGGTAAGCATCGATTTTGGCCGGTAATTGTTTACTTCAAGATTGTGCCAAAATTGATTCCGCAGGCCCAACCTATTAAAAATGAAACGGCTGTGGCAAGAACATTTTATACGCGTCAACGAAACGGGAATAATTTGTGCATTCTCTAACCTTACTGTCTTTGTATTGACCCGTGAACAAAATTGGTCTTCGCCAAGCAGATTATATCAGCCTAGTGTTGATTACACAAGGTTTGCCCCTCTCTTACAAGCACTCTTGGGGTAAATTGCTGCAAAACCGAAAGGAGAGCAACATCTGCCGCAATCTATAGTATTGTGTTCACATTGCGAGAAAAATTTGTTTTCTCAGCCTCCAATCAGAATAGTCTCTGCTTGTGTTTCAGTTTTTGTTGTGTTTTAGTGTGTTCTTTGTTGTTGTGTTAGCGTCCGATTATAGGCACCAGTCTATTTCCAGGTGCGTTTTTCGACCACTCGTCGGTCAGGAACTATAGGCAGTCGTCATCCTAAAGAAAACGAACAAAAAATCACTGTAACAGATTGTGACATCCAAAAATGTCTTCCCTCTGAGAGACATTTGGATCTAAGCATAATTCATTCTAGCACAACCTATAGGGCTGTGGCCACGGGAAAGCAAAGTGCAACCCCGTACAAGGGTTCAGCTTGTTTCGGCCGGCATCAACGACACACCTGCGCGCTTTTCGTATCAACGAACTCTGACCAGTTCACTTGTGTCGCGCATCCGTTAATGCACTGATGACTATCTGTTCATAGTGATATCAGGTTGTCTTAATGGGCTAGCTTTTGATCTTGTCGTATTATGAATATGCTTGTCCTTATACCAAGTACTCGGCATTTCCTGCCTACTAGGTGTCACAACGTGTGATTTCAAAAGAACTATATTGGTGAGCAATTTTGTCGACACATGGGCGTACTACGGTTGAAAGTATTACGATATTCAAATGTTCACCTTAATCTTGGCGTACGTAAACATGAAGGAACTTGAGATTCGTCTTAAGAATGCTGACTGCAAGTGATACCGGTTTTCGTTTCATGTACGCGTTTGGGCTGTTAGGTCCTAGTGGTTTGAATCCCTGTTGCAAACTGTAAGGGCACTTTTGAATGAGTCATCGAACTACGTAAGAGAATTTGACCAAGCTTTTGTCTTGAACAACTGGACTGTCGTTAAGCAGATTTTCCGATTTAATCTACGCCCTTCTTCAGCTGGCTTGGTTGTTTGAAAATTGTACATGTACAAATTTATGGGTTAGATTTAAACCTTTTGCCCCCCCCCCAATGATAAATTTGTAAAATAAATTTTAAAAAATAACTTACGGCAATCTATCAAAAACCTTATGCATGGGCTTTAGATTAAAAGCCTGGAAGCAGAACCCAAAGCCAACGTTTGAGGAATGACGTCACTTTAGAAAACTCGGTAATTAACGACATTTTGGTTATTATTATATTCTGTAACCGACCTCTGTGGGTTGCAAGAAAATGTGCTCAAACCGCAAAGTGCTCCAGAGGACAATTGGGATACGCGACAGGTAAAATGGCGTTTCCTTTCTCTGTTCAGCCTTATAAATGTCTCTCAATAAACTCTCAGCCTCTTACAACAGTTTCGGATTACACTGATTCCTACATCATACTGCGCTGTTTCAATTGTGGTGTCGTTGGAAAGATATCCAGTGACCTTTTATGGGCGACAGTCTATTGAAATCTGTGGTATTTTGTTCAAAGGAGACGCACGGAACATATATTGACATGGGGCACATCAAAAATGTATTAGACTCGTCTTTACCTTGGTGATTGTTGGCGGACCGGTCGAGGGAGCCCACGCACGGACCTTTTGATGCATTTTCCCTTCAGCTTTTGCCGTCTTTGTCAAATTTGTCTCAGCTAAATCTGGCACCGTTGTTTTGTTATGGTTCCTTTGTCGGTAGAACCTGAGAGAGCCAGCCCACGAAGTTTAGGTGGGTGTATCGGCCGGATAAACTCATTTTATTAACCCGCTTGTGAGAACAGTTTGTTTGTTGTTCCATCATTTTTGACCTTCTCGTTGAACATTTTGCCAACAATAGGCTATTAATCAAGCCCTCATAATCCCGTTATTCTGGCGTGAATTCTTAATGAAGATAAAAGAGCAAACCATTGGCCCCTGTCAGCTTTTTTCTTTCCCTTTTGAAGTCTGACACTCATCGGTTAAACAAATCACAAGCGGGTCAGGTGTTTCATCTGATTCAGATCCGATGCATCGTTGGAAATGTTTGGCTCTGTTAGTTATCGTTGGACGTGTTTACCATTGTGATTTTGTCTTTGCTGTTAATATCAAGAATGAACTTTGACTTTTTAGTTCAAGCTCCGTCTCTCTCAATGCTTAGGAAGTGTATTGTGAGTATGTCTTTTTGAATTGATATTTTTTTGCCGAATTTTTTGCCGAAGCGTTGACTTCAGATGAATCTATTGAAAGATTTAGTAGTTGGTATATTTTGTGAGTGATGTGGCATGGATTCAGGAGTTTTCTTGACCTTTGAAAGCTGCACCGACCCTTCATTTAGTAGTTTTTTCAGTATGACGTTTATTTTCCTATTAGTGAAGATCAGAAAAAGTAAATAATAACAGTATAAATAATAAATCAAGAACGATAGAGTAAAAGAAATATATAAGTAAAGGGAAAACCAATATGGGGCTTTTTCAGAGGCCGGGAGGCTTGTATTGAAAAGCCCTGGACAAAACAAACTTTACACAGAGACAACAAAAAGCAAGACAGCAAACAACAACAAAACCACTAAGAAATGTCTGTGTTTGACTGGCTTTATTTACATTAAGATATGTCTTCCAAGTCCGTCTAAAGTTGTTGGAATCGCTAAATAATTGTTTCAGTTTGAAACTGAGATTGTATGTTTCGTCTGGTTACAATAATGTGATCAGCATCTGCCTGTTGCATGCACCCGTACCCGTTATTAGCCATTGGGGTTATATTTAGGGTATGGAGTTAACTTTCCTTTTGTTTTCTCAGAGGTACTTTGAATACCTGCATTTTGGAAGGTGTGAGATACATCTGTCTTTGTTAATATTTTGCTATTTCCTACACCACGATTTTCACACATGTTGGTGGAAGCTGGCACCTGTTGTGTTTATAACCATCTGTTTACGTGCAGGATGGCCAACTATTATTTTGCCCCCTACTCCATATTCACACGTGGCGGCTCTTTCCAGAGAACCCAATCCATGCATCCAGGAAATGACTTTTTCCCTGGACACAGGTGTTATCTTGGCTGAGGGGGAAAGATGGTGACGCCACTTGACGCCCAAGAACAATTGGTCAAGGCCTCGGGAGACCTGGGCGGGCAGTTGGAAGTCGCCAGCCTCATGATGAAAGTCATGTATCATGTGGGCCTATTTCCGTTGTTTGCTTTGGAGTGTCGGCACACCTTTCTTGATCGGATCGTGGTTGCCTTGGTGAGAGCCGGAGGATGGTTCGCTCGTGATGTCAGATTAATTCCTCTATCCACCCAGGACTTTGGAGAATAGTTGGATGTAAAAAGCTGTCAATGTCTATTTAGCTGTTCCCGATTTCGATCGTGAACTTCTTTTGTTTAACTTGTTATTTTTTTACATCGTAGTGCACTGTTACAAAAGGTGTTAATCTGCTTTCGCTCAGTCTTCGTAGATCTTCCATAAAAGCCCTTAGTAAACCAGGCCATTGGATATGTCGTCAATATTTGTAACAATTAATTAAATCGTTTCGAGGTTTACCGTCAGACATCATCGGTATAGGATCTCCCTTACTCCCTGTCGAGAAAACAGTGCACACAGACCAGAGAAAGAACTAAAACAGTTAACGCCAAACCGGACATCTGGCCAGGGTCGACGAATGGACATGATTTTGCGTGCGATTTAACCCCTTTTCTTACCGTATATTGTGTCCTGGCATTATGTGTCTTGTTGGCTATTAAACTAGCACGTCACCATTATCCGTCAACCCTACAATGCCTCTCGTGCATGCTCGATATCACTTGGCAAGATTAAATATGTTGGCTTTTCAAATTTTGTCATCAGCCGTCGCCATTCGGCCGTTAATTCATAAAGCACGATTTCACATCTATCGCACTACCAGAGACAGCCGTTTTGGCAGGTTTACTCGTACTAGAACATGACTGCCTATGTCTCGAACCCATGCAGAGACACATAACGTGAGGCTCCTCGGCTAAGACTAAAAAAATGTTACTCATCAAAATCATTTTTAATGAAAAATGGGGATTTCTGTGTGAGTATTCCCTAGAGACAATGTTGGTTACTGGAATTAAAAGCCCCAAGCAGCCGGGAAAACATCCTTCTGACGCCAACGGGACCGAAACTGCTTCGAATTAGGCCATTTTGATGCATGTCTTTAACCCACATGCGCTCATTTATCAATTATCATTTCAGCGTTTCTTTCATCAGTGGGGTTATACCGCAGCGCGGATAAGTCTAATCTATCCTTATTTGATTTTTACACGGACATGCAGGCAAAACATTCTGTATGCAGGGGAAACTTTTTTTCCTTTCCGTACCCCTAGTAGAGAGGATTCCATTGGATAGACAAAAAGAGTGCTTTAAAAATAGTCGATATCTATCGAACGAAGTTAATCGGGCTTAATAAGATTACAGTTTAAAAGAGTCGGATACATTACTTTTCATCG